TTGCAAGCATTGCAGCATACATACCTTTGCAAAATGCAAAGCAGAAAATGCAAAGCAGATCAAATGCATTATTTTCATAGTGGTGGACAGGCAGTCAAATGAGATTTCTCCCACAGCGTCGGCTTTTTCAGGCCAAAATTCTGCGCTTTTCATAAATTTTTCAGGACTGATATTACTGACTGAACTGATATTACTGATCGAGCCGTACGCGTCTGGTGTAACAATAAGTGAAAAGTACAAGAAGGTGGGATACTCCCTTCAACGATTATTTCAGTGGGCCCACTTATCTCCTGGGGCGTCACTTAACCGTCGCTGTTGAGGCCGGTCAGCCACTCCTCCCCAGTTGGGGGCCGGTACGGGGCCACGGTCCTGACCCCGCCGCCGGGCCTTCGGCCGCGCGTTTGACCCGCTGCCAGCAGGGCCGCCGCCCCAGCTGAGCTCCAGAATAGCCGACGTCGATGGCCGGGCGCGCCCCACGCTGGAAACAAGCCGCCGCCGGGTGTTTACCGGCGCTTGAGACCCCGCCCTCCCGCGCCCGGCCCGTGGCGGCTCTAAACAGGGAGGGGTCTAAACAGGGGGGGGGGGGTCTAAACAGGGGAGGGGGTTTTGGAGACACCGACCGCGACCTGGTCCAGAGTGTGCGTGTATGGGGGGGGGGGTCTAAACAGGTGGTCTAAACAGGCGAGGGGGGGGCGCTGGAAATGCCAGCCGCGACCTAGCCTGGGCGGGGTTAAACGGGGAGTGGTGGTGGGCGGGGCGCGGTACGGCTAGGCCGCGCAGCCATGCAGCGAACGCAGCAGCGTAATCAAACACCAGAAGGAAGTGGAGTCGAGCGTCCTGAAAATGTTCCAGATTCATCATCGCGTGCCCAAAAGTGTTACAATGTGTCTCCGATGGACGAATGTAGCGTTAAGCGTACCCACAACGCCTCGGAGATGTCACTGAACGATCCCAAGACACTGCCGGGCGGCTCTGTGGTCTCCGAGACTCGTCACTGGCTGTGGGCTGCAATAGCTCAACCAATGCGCCAAGGCGGCGTGACGTGCCATTTCATCCGCGAACACAACCATGCACTCCTCGCTTTTCCCCGTTTTGCACGCCGTGTCCGCAGTGTCCGGTTCTTCTTCTTTCCTCAAGCTAGCTTCCATAAACTTTTTTTTTTGGTGGCCGCCGCCAAAATTTCCTGCGCATTGCGTCTAGTGTAAGGAATGGTCGGGGCCAGGAAGCACAATGGTCGTTCTTTGATATCCAAGCTTCTCCTGAGCAGGGCCGGACGAACTCGTCGAAGCCGATGGACCTTTCATGAACAACTTTTCGCCATTGATGGCTAGCTAGCTATCCGCACGTCGATGTGGTGGCAAACTCTCCACGCGGCGGACTTAACGGATCAGCCATGCTGAGCAGAACAACGGTGAATTGAATAATGATAGTAAGGATAGCGTGAGTCCATAGGTATAACATAAGTTACGCTATGTGGATATTGCTATGGTGTTCCGCCTTATGTAACAGTGATGCACAGGCACATCAAGTAAAAGTTTCAGTAATGATGCGGTACGGCGGGGCCTGAGCGAACTGGCGACGGGCGCGGCGACTGACCCGACATCGTGTTTCGCTGTCGTCGGCCGGCTGTAGCCAGACTGCCAGCGTCGGTTGGAGAACGACGCGCCGGTGAGTCAGGAGCGTCTCGGCTGCCGTCGGCGCGCCCCAGTTCCGCTGGCTTGTGGGCGGCACCTGTTGACGCGGCCGGGGCGAGCCCGCCTCAGCCCGCCAGCCGACATCGCTGAGCGCTGCTCCGCCGTCAGCCGACATGGCTGTGTGTCGTCGGCTGGTCGGCGCGCCAGACCCGCTGGCAGGGGAGTGCCCTACAGAGCGCTGGTGGGGGCCGCACCCGCGGCAGGCGGTGCGGCCGCTGCCGCGCCGGGCGGCCGTTGGGCGCCGGTGGGCGCGAGGTACCGGTTGCGGCGCGTGGGCGGCGCGGGGAGCGGCTGGACCAACGCCAGCTTCCTCTGTGCTCTGCCAGCAGACGGCGCCAGCGCACGCGGCTGTCGCGACGGCTGGGAAAACCCGGCGCACAGTCTGGAGCGGGAGCTGGCAGATGCGCGCGGCAGCCCTCCGTGGCGGAGCACGTAGAACTTCTAAGGTTCAAAGCTGCGCCTTTTTGCAGCGCTCTGGATGTACTCAGGACCAGCATGTGGGCTCACATGATGGAGACAACTTGGTCAGCCTGTTCTGAGAGATGTTACAACTCGCTGCTCAACCTGTGGCATGTTTATAAGGTGTTACGGAGCTGCCAGGTCCCTGCGACCTAGTAGAGCTGGACCAGGTCGTAGTTTCGCATCGTCGGCAGAGGAAGCAAAATTCGCCCGTTCCGCCGGCTCGTTTGCGGATCAACCGATCCCGTTTGCCAGCGCTGGAAAGTCATAACATGGAGCTGACATACATTTTTGTGGTGAAAGACAACTGTGTTAAGATGCCAAGAATGTGTCCTGATGAGCAACGCCTCTCCACTACCGTACACAAATGAGACCATAGGTCATGAAACAGTGTTTCCTTACAGAACGACACATTGTTCATAACGGCGTGCAAAGCGGTCACTGACGTGATTCACTGTCTGCAGCGAGTTTTTAGCTATGATGCCAACACTTGTAAAATACTATATATATACCTATATATATATATATATATATATATATATATATATATATATATATGTTATATATCTATATATATAGATATATAGCATATATATAACTATATATATCTATATATATATATGTATATATATATATATATCTATATATATCTATATGTATATATATATATATATATATATATATATATATATATATATATATACCCATGGATTGGGAAGGCATGAAATGGAATTCGTTGTAAAGTTATGGCATTCTCAGAACTTTCTGATGCCATGACACCTGCAAACTTTGTTTTGACGCCGATGTGTTTTACAGCCAATATCCAACTTCCTGTCATTGAATTACGGCCGTTCGCACGGCTCGCTTCAGATAAAACAGTTTTTAGTGCACGTTACTGTTGTTTCATTAATGATACAAGTACCACCAATGTGTTTATCACGCACTTGTACAGGTTGAAGGCCAACATAACCCGCGTTATGCCCCAATAACCGTTTAGTTTATCCCCGGCAACTGCGATGCTTTCCGCGGCGCTTACTGGTCCACCACAACAATGCTCGACGTTAAAAATCATGAAATGAAACTCAATGAAGTTTTCCTCAATGGGAGGAAAGTATGGTTCTGTGATAACTGCACATGAACCATGACTAGCCGGCTTTCCGGCGCGAGGCAAAAAACTGGACCCACTCAAAAGTACTGACGCGCAGAGGACACGGGTGGTAACGGGTGACAAAGTGGAATACAGACGGCTGCCATAATAGAGGGACGCAGCTTTGATCAGATCGATCATTGCGCTGATAGGACGGATGTGGCGACCCCTCGCCCTGAAGGATGCAGCGCCGGCAGACACCCTCGGCCCATCCCGACGGCGACACGGCGACGTCACGGCGGTGACATGGCGGCGTCACGGCGGTGACACGCAAGCAGACGTGTATCTGGCCCCGATCTGGTCCGTACCAAGGTCGTTAATGTGGACGGCGGCTGACCGGACCGAGCCGGCCGTTGACCCGCGGGTCAGCTGCGTGGCTCGGCGGCGGGCGCCACTGCCGTCCCTAGCCCCGGTGACGTCTAATCCGGGCGCCAGATGAGCGGGCACAGAGCGGGCACGCTGCAGCCGCCGACTGGCGCCGCGCCACCCGGCGTCACAGCCGCGGCCGCTGCCGGCTGGGACCGTGACTGGTGCCGCGCCACCCGGCGTCACTGCCGCGGCCACTGGCGGCCGGGGCTGTGACTGGTGCCGCGCCACACGGCGTCACAGCTCCGGCTACTGGCGGCCGGGGCTGTGTCACGACCGCGTATCTCTGGGGTCTACGCCATGACGCTCAGGACCTCCTAGGTTGATCAGGCACCCGGGAGTAGAGGGACCTCTAGGGTCCGCGTCACGACGCCGAGGACCTCCTGGGTTAGGGACATCTGGGGTCACACGTAACCGGGGATGCCTGGGGTCAACTTACTGAACCAGAGGGCTTCTGGGCCTGCTCAAGGGACTGGAGGACTATGGGCCTGTTCACGAGACCGAGAACCTTTGGGGTACGCTGTGGGACCAAGGGACCTCCAGGTCACGCGACCGGGGGCCTTAGAGACTGCTCCCGAGACTGGGCAGGGAGATTCTGTGGGCTCGTCTACGGAACCGGAAATCTCTACACTCTTCTCACGGGACTGGGACCTTTTGGGTCCGCTAACCAGCTATGAGGAGCTCTGGATCCGTCTGACGGCCCCGTTGCGGGGGCTGAGGCCGGCGGAGAGAGGGAGGGAGGGGAAGACGGACAGAAAGCTAGGCTAAAAGGTGGCTGAATGTCACCTGCAGACAGACGTGGAGGAGGCTAATGTCTACTGCCATGGCGTGGCAGAGGCTCAGAAAAGAAAACAGGAGTCAGACTGTGAGACTCAGCCTAAATTACCATCAGGAAATTTGTAACCAGTTTCGAATCGCTGTACTTCCACGAAGCTATGGGCTGCGACGGTTGTGTATGTATGCGTGCGTACATGGCGTGCACATGTGAAGCATGTACGGTCGGCCCACTACGATAGATCCGTCTTGGTCCGAAGACCACGAACAGCTCATTTTGTGCTAGAATTTACCCTGCGTTGGGTTATTTCGAAGGTGGATAAGAGCACGGACGATGCCCCATGTTTTCAGCGCGCCTTGACGTCGCCAATAGGTGGCGCTCAGGTTTGGCGCGGGATTTAATCGCCCCGCTGGCTGCCGACCAGCGCGTTCACCCCGTGGCTAAACAACGAGCGGCGCGCCGGTACACACCGCGCCGCTAATAACCACCGGCGGCCCTCCGGCACCGGAGAAGAGCCGCTACCGTGACGACCTTGACCCGTGCTGTGTCTCGTTTCCAGCCCGAAGAACGCGCTGGTGGTGCGGACGCAGCTGTCGGTACGCTGCCACGCCATCATAGGTGAGCACGAGAGCGGCGCCACCCGCGCCGGCCGTCGGACGTCGACCTCGACGATCCGTGACGGTGCCGATGACCCGGGGTCGCCGGTGATGCGCCGGGGTGGTAGGAGGTGACGGTACGGACCCGCAGTCCCGGTAGTCCCGAACGGCGTCTGCGTGAAATCTCGCCGCCTCGGGCGATGCGCTGGTGGTGAGGCGTTGTCGCTGCTGCTGCTGGCTGAACCACGCCATCAATGATTTGGTCGCAGGAGGGGCGGGTGGTAAGGGCGTAAGATTATGGGTGTACGTAATGCGTGGTGTCCAGTTACGTTGGTGGAAAGCACTTGGGCTTCTTTGGTTTGGCAGAGGGAAGATGGTTTGACGGACCTAGCCGAGAGAGTGCGGAGTGAGCGAGTAAGTGAGAGTGAGCAAAACGGTGCGGAGTAAGCAAGTGAGTGAGAGCGAGCGTGCCTGACTCCGGAGAAGTTGACTCGACTTCCTTAGACTTTTGAAAGGAAGTTCTGACCAAGCCTTTTGCATGAATGTGCTCGGGATTCGGGTCCAGGTGGGGGGGGGGGGGGGGGGACAGCTCAGCGTTGGCCTCGCCGGAAGCCACACAGCAGCCGCAGGGAGCGCTATGCCGTCCACAGAGGGCCTGCGGCGGACCGCGGTCTGAGGGGAGTCGACCCCAGCGCAGCGCTGCTGCAGGCGCTGGTGTGGTGCTGCGGACGTCGTGACCACTGTGCATACCATTGTGTTTCCCGGCTTTGTGGCTTTGCTCCCCGAGCGAGGGAAAGCCCGATGTGCCAATCGTACGATGTCTCGTACCCGTGGGTGGAGAATGCGGCGTGGCTGGTGTGACCGCGGCCGCACAGGCCTGCATGGTGTATGGCTGGATTTTGACATGCTGTGTTGCAAAGATGTCGTTTCTTCAGCTTTCCAACCCTAGCTCTCCTCGACGTTCTGTCCGTATCTCAATGTTCACAGTCAAGGCGCGTGTTCCACTGGCGATTTAGATGCGTCTGTGAAGAGCATTAGCTACAAAGTTTTTTTGGCTGACTGTGGCGATAACCTGCATTCCGGCTGCATTCGACAGCGGATCTAAATCCGGCCGCTGGAATACTTTCTTTCTTTTCCATGCTTCACACCCGACTTTAATCTCATAGGGTTCGTTCCACCTGGCATTTCCGACGCCGCACGGACATGAGACAGCCTATCGCCCGTCCCTACCGCAGAACGACCGGGCAGCCATTGGTGACAATGCGCTCACGCCGGCGCCGCCGTGAGCCCATCTCCTGGCAGACTCCCACCGGCTGCTGCTGCAGGCCCACCGGAATCTCATTAAGCGCGTGCGGCGCCGTTTTTTGCGTGGGTTGGCGCGGCCGACCCGGGTTTCGGGCTCAAAACCACGGCGGACGGATGTGCGCCAAGGTTGTGGCGGCGGCGCGCCGCGAGCCGTTGCCGCCGTCGGGAGCCGCTACCGCTGGGGCGCCAGGCGTTTGTTTTCACGATGAATGCGCGCGGCCGAGCGGCCCGGGCGCCGCTGCCAAGACGACCGCGCACAGCGTCCGGCCCCGGCCCCCGCCCCCGCCCCCGCCGGCGCACGGGCTCACAGGAGCCTCAGCCGGCGGCACGTCAGGCATGACCGGTTTGCTCGCCACCAGGGCGCGCTGGCGTTCCAAGCACCAAGCAAATGGGAGTGGTGTCCAAACGACCGTCTGCCGCCGTAGATTGGGGTTCTTATATAGAAGGATGGTATTCACAATGTTGTGTCGCTGGGACTCGATCAAGAAGTCTAAGCATGAATATTATGGGCGAATCGATGAGGAAGTTGCGAAAGGTATGAAATGTTTTGTATTTCTAATTCCAGATTATGTCCTTCGACTCATGACATTTTGCTCTCGATTCCAGAAAAGCTACTGAATTCGCAAGAACGAGACCTGAGAAGAGCCCTCTTCTCACTCAAGCAAATATTTCAGGTACGAGTAATGTTGGCACACAACCCATTGCTGTTTAGTGTGCTGTTTATGTGGGATAACTGGTTTGAATGATAAGCCCATAGCGAGGCGGAGAAATATGATGTCAAAAGTGTCACATATCACAGCATATTTATTTTGATACAGACCATTAATGTTGGGCGAATGGACCGTTGCTAAGGTGCATTTCTATTTTTTGTGACCCGATCATATTTTCTCTACCTGGTGGGTTCGTCGCTGTGCAAGTGTTTGTTTCTTATTCACGTTGATTTCAAGCCTTATTTTTTAAGTTATTCAAGTAGGCCATGTGAGCGGAGAGCGTGTTTCCGCAGTTAACCGGCGCGCCGTGAGGTTGTCATCATGCGCCCAACGGGCGGGACTGGTGCCGGGGGCCAGGTCATTCGTCGGTCCAACAGCTCAGCGGGGCTGCTAGGCTGAGGGCGTGGAGGTGCTTCGTTGATGACCCTCTTCGGGAGTTGAAGGAACTCGTTGGACAGGATTTGGATTGTTCGATCTTGCCAACGTTGACTCGATCCGAGATGAAAACTCCTGCAAGACACAATTTTTTAAAAACGTAAGAGGAAGATAATGACAGCCGTTCTTATTGTCCCTGTAATGAAACTGCATTTCTGTTTGCGGTCTTGCATCGAAAGAAAGCGACCGAGCGCCGTTCCGCATCGATTTGCTACCTCCGCCACACATAGCAATGCTTTCGGTACTATGTAGAGCTACTTAGTTGTTATTCAGAGCCTACCGCAAACCATTTTTCTACTCGAACAATTATTATTCGATTTGACCAAGCATTTCACCCATTAGGTGGTTATTATTCTCCAGCGTGCAGATCGCTGAGCGTCACGATGATGGTGTCGGAGCACAGACAGCCGATGCTGCACCACACGGCAATGGTGCCGGAACACAAACAGTCGACACCCGTGCTGCACTACACGGCGATGATGCCGGAGCACAGACAGCCAGTACCCGTGACGCGCTACACGGCGATGGTGCCGGAGCACTGCTGCACTACACAGACACTTCCGCCTTCCCTGTTCCAGGACGACAAGGATCTCGTGCACGAGTTTGTCAACAACGACGGTCTGGCGTGTCTCATCAAAGTGGGGCTGGAGGCGGACCAGAAGTACCAGAACTACATCCTGCGAGGTGGGCCGCTGACCGGTGACTGGCGGGCGGGGCGCTGGCGTTGTTTTGGTCTCGCACTACGGGACGTGTCCCTCGCTGAGTGCCTCCATCTGTTGCCGGCAGGGGCTCGGTCTCGATGCATTTGTCCACCGTTGTTGTATGTGGGGGCAGCGATAAGGTATGAGAAGGAGAAGGCACGCTACGTTGATCTTGTTTTATTGCTGCCGGAGAGGAATAGGTCAAATATTTTCTCAACGCGTCGCCAGCGACGAGCAAAATGATGTTCCCCTTTTCTCCGACCTCACTGTCCCCCAGCCGGCAGCGCCACGTCAGAGATCTCGCCCGTTCTCTGAGCTCGCTGTGCCCATGTCGTCAGCTCTGGGCCAGGTGATGCTGTACGTGGACGGCATGACGGGCGTGATGGAGCACGGCGAGACGGTGCAGTGGCTGTACAGCCTGCTGGACTCGCAGTACCGGCTGGTGGTCAAGACGGCACTTAAGCTGCTGCTCGTCTTCGTGGAGTACACGGAACCGAACGGACTCCTGCTGGTCCGTGCCATCAACGCCGTCGACACAGAAAGAGGTGAGAGCCAGGGAGAGAGGGTGAGCTGACAGACAAAGGCCCGGCACGGCCCATGTTCCCTCTGGGGCGCGGTGCCTCGGCCAAACCCGACCTTTCCTGATATATCTGTCTGATCTGAACCGATCTGACCTGATCTTACTTGACCTGACCTGATCTGAATTTATATATCTGACCTGGAGTGACCTGAACTGACCTGACTTACCGTCATGAGCAGGTCGGACGCCCTGGTAAGGTCGGGTGTTCGTGCTGCGATGGCTGCCCGGCCCAGCGTGACCAGACCACCCGTGATCCATCTGACGAGACGTGACCTGACCTGCTCTCAGGTCGGACGCCCTGGCACGGCCTGATGTCCCTGCTGCGCGGCGGCGATTCGGCCGACTCGGAGCTGCTCGTGTTCGCCGCCACGCTCATCAACAAGGCGCTGAACGCCGTTGACGACCAGTCGACCTACTACGACCAGACGGACCGGCTGGAGCAGCTCGGCATGGAGGCCATCACCAACAGGTGAGTACCGACGGTCGCCCGGCCAGTGGCGGGTGGGAGCGAGACGGGCGAGGCGAGGGGAACAGGGCCATTGGTGGGTGGGAGCGAGACGGGCGAGGCGAGGGGAGCAGGGCCAGCGGTGGGCGGGAGCGAGACGGTTGAGACGAGGCCGGAACAGGGCAGTAGTGGGCGGGAGCGAGACGGGTGAGGCGAGAGAAACAGGGCCAATGATGGGCGGGAGCGAGACGGGTGAGGCGAGGGGAACAGGCCCAGTGGTGGGCCGAGCGCAGAGGGGGCAGGATGACAACGACTCCGTTGTACAACTGAGGGCTTATAGTGCAGTAACTTTCAAAAATCACAGTCCGTTATGTGGTTATTTGGCTAGTGGTACGAATGAGAACTCGATGTGGCGCCATTTCAAACATACTCCTGTTTTTGATGCAAGTTTTATGAGACATTTTTCCTTAGATGGTGCCTCACCGTCCTACAAAAGCATGCACAGTTCCTTATGCACGCATATGAAGGTCGGACCGTAATTAAGTATGACTGCACGCACATTGTTCTCGCACTGTGTGAAGAACCAATGTGAAATATTTTCTGCGAATTTCGCTAGTGCGAGTAGCAGTACAGCACCAGCTAACCATATATCATGTCGCGAGAATGACTGTTATAGGCCATGTCTACATTCAGAACTCGCCGCATCACACCCGCAATGGCCCATGGCCGAGATTGAATAACGTCTGCCCTCTTCGTGCTGCACAGCCGCTTTGGGATGTCCAGTGCCCAATGGGCTCTATGAAGTTGATGACCGTCGGTTAACCTCCACTCCGTTTGACGCCTCTTAACTCCAATTCGTCTGGTGATAGCAGGGTCACTCCGTCATTGACTGAACTCAGCGTCGTTTGAAGCGATGATGTTCCGAAATCCGCTCAATCTGGCAACTGTGTAATGGAGGCTTCATCGGCCAGTGCCACCCGTCAGCTCTGATGAGCGACACTGGCCGATGTAGCTGTGTCACCCGTCAGCTCCGACGAGTGGCACTGGCCGATGACGTGCGTCACCCATTACGTGTGACGACTGGCACCGGCCGATGAGTTGTGCCACTCGTCAGTTCTGACGAATGGCACTGGCCGATGACGCGCGTCGCCCGTTATGTGTGACGCCTGGCACCGGCCGATGAGTTGTGCCACCCGTCAGCTCTGACGAGTGACACTGGCCAATGACGTGCGTCACTCGTCAGCCTGTGCGACTCGTCAGCCGATGCGACTCGTCAGCCATCCTTTAGCTGGCGTTGTCCGGTCGCCGTGGTTTCCTCCAGCCCGTGCGACTCGTCAACCTGTCACTGGCTGACCAGTGCCTCGTCACCCAGTGCCACGGACCCGTCAGTATCGACCGCCAGCCGGTGCTGACGAGGTGCGTCCAGCCGATGATCCATCGGCAGGCTCTGGCGCGACTTCCCGGCCGGCCGTGTGTTTTGATCGGTCCCGGGCCGCCGGCCGACACAACAGCCGCCGGACGCCTTTGTTCGCGGCGTCGGCCATTGACGACCTGCAGCGCGCCGAATACGCCGCACGCACCGCGCCGGCCATTGTCGACGCGACATTTCAATCGGCGTCGGCGCAGCGGCGCGTTCAGCAGGGCGGCACGCCCGGGGTACGCCCCCCCCCCCCAACCCCACCCCACCGGCGCAGGCTAGCGCGTGACGCGATCGGGAAGGTCTGACTTGGGCAACCCCGGTGGACCATTCTCGTCCGATTCCGGCGGTCGCCGTCGGCCGATTCCAGCGGCCGTCAACGTCGCCGGCGCAGTGCGGCCGCGGGTTCGCGATTCCAGTGTCGCTCCTCGCGCCGCCTGTGGGCCATTCATGGGCGCGATTGGGAGCGGCGATTCGCCGGCCGGAGCGCGGCGGTGGTGGGCGCGCGTCGTGTCTGTCGCGTCGGCGGGCGGGAAGGGCGCGTGTCGGGGAGCTGCGCCGGGAGCTGAGCTGGGCGCGGGACGGGGAGCTGTGTCGGGAGCTGAGCTGAGCTGAGCTGAGCTGACCTGAGCTGATCTGAGCTGAGCCGAGCCAAGCCGAGCAGAGCGTGGGCGGAGACACCGGTATCGGTATGGCGCACGTCTCCACCGTCCAGCTGTTCATATCGCGCAAGTAAGACTGCTGAGGCTGCTGCTGCTGCCGCCCGTGCTCCTCCACAGCTCGTCCACTTTTGCGTGCGCCGCGGTGCACTGCGGTGGAAACTGGAGCTTGCAATTTCTGCTCGTTGGATAAATATCAGCCCGTAGTGCGAGTTGTGTGGTATATTTGCGTCATCACTGAGAAGCAGTGCGTCCTTGCGGGGAAGTGATGCGCCATCTAACAAAACTCCGAAACATTGCATGTGCAGACCTGACAAGCTAGCTTAAGTATCACCGTTAAAAAGCAAGAGAGCTGTCATCCAAATGGGACAAGGCCTTTGCACAGTGGGCGTGCTTGTCTAAGGTCCGGCATTGAGATCTTTAAAAACCTAACGGCTTATGTAAATATATCATTGTTCGTGGAGGGACTCCTATAAGTCATTCTGTTCCAGGTCCATTCCTATCATAGACAAGGGTGCTGTACGTCGTTCAAAATAAAAAGTGCATGCTCCACCGCACGAAGGAGTCATTTTTGTGCAATTTTTGGAATGAGAGTTGATTCTGTGGCAGGTTCAAATGAGGCTGCAATGTAGGGTGACAACATCCGAAAACATTTAACAAGCTGCTTCTGCTTGGCTAGGCATGGACATGATGCAATATGCACTGGAGAGTCAGCGCTCAGTACTGGTCTGACACGTTACCCAGAGACGCGTACACGCTAGTACACGCTAGTACGCTGCTACGCCCACATGTGTTGCTCATGTGCAGAGGTGCAGCCAGAAATTTTCTTAAGGGAGAGGGACAGAAAACGGAGCTCATTTCAAACGCACCGCGCTGATATTGTGTTTACCCTGTCAGGAGCCACCGATAGAAAAATGAAAAGAGTGCGGTTTCGAGGCCCCCTTAGGCTGCGCCTGAACCGTTTTCGTTCACACATGGCGGTTGATAAAAGACCGTGAATGAAAAACAAGTTTTTCCTGTTTGTAAAATGTTTTCTGATGTACAGTACAAGAGCTATCAGCCGGGTGGCGTGTGGTGAGACGATACGGCGTGGGGCTACAATGCCGGCACCGCTCGATACCTCTGTAGTTTGCGAGTTACGAGTGCCATTGCCACTGCTTTGAATCACCTACTTATCGACGCGCCGGCTGAAAGTCCGTCACCTTCCCATTTGTGACCCCAGGTCGGTCACCATGTGGGCGTCAGTGCAAACTTAACAGTGGTCAATATTGTGCTCGAGACCATTCCGGTCTCAATGCTGACCTTCATCCCCTCCCGCCCTCCACCCCCATGTGCCGCTAACGACCGCTGCCGCTCCTGCAGCGCGCCGTGTCTGCGTGATGTATTTTCCATTCCACGTTGCATTGACTCACGTTGCAGAACTCGTACTACGTCTCTTTCCTCGCAAAAACAACGGACTGGTTCAATAAGGCCGTGTCAGCCGTGGGTGGGAGGGGGGGGGGGGGGGGGGGCACCCCGCGCCGGCCGGGTGTCTGAGGTGTTTGGCTGTGCGGCAGGTACCTGGCGAGGGCTGACACTGAGCCAGAGCTGGCCCAGCAGCTGCAGATCTACGAGGCCGTGCTCAAACGGGAGGACGGCGAGTCGGACGGCTCCAGCATACCCGCGGACGCTAGTATGAGGTGAGTACGGACCAGCATACCTGCGGGCGCTAGCATGAGGTGAGGACGGCGTGGATACTAGTATGAGGAGAGGACGGTCCAGCATACCTGCGGACACTAGAATGAGGTGAGGACGGCTCCAGCATACCTGCGGACGCTAGTTTGAGGTGAGGACGGCCCCAGCAAATCCGCGGACACTGGTATGAGGCGAGGACGATCTAGCATACCCGCGGACACTGGTATCAGGTGAGGACGGCTCCAGCGTACCTGCAGACACTAGTTTGAGGTGAAGACGGCTCCAGCACGCCAGCAGATGGTGACGTCGTGTGAGGGGAGGCGTGATGTGCGGAACCTGATGAGACTTCGAACACCACTATGTCACTGCGCGTGGCCCTGATGCACGCCAAATCTCCCGCCATTTCGCTGGTCGGGATGTATCGCCCGGGACACGTTCCTCCGCTGCTGAACGAGCTGGGCTTGCTCATACATAACCGTGTCCTGAGTCATCTGCTCCTGCGTGCTCCCACGTACAGCGGGTCGGCGCGACAACATTGTCACGGCTGCGTGGCCTTTTCAAGAGCGCCACGCTGCGCTACCGCGGCGCCGCCGCCTTGATCTCGCTGACCACAATCCACAGCTGGCGTCTCTCCATGAACCCTCACTGATATGCATGGCCGTGACTTTCCCGGCCCCAGGTGGGAGCTTGTGACCCTCCTGACTTCGTGCAACTATTGATTACGCCGGCTGGGGCCGTCGGCTTCGCCGCAATATTGACTGACGAATCGTGCCGGGAGTAAGTCATGCCTGGTCTAACCGATTACATTTCTCCCGTCAAAATAATGACCTGACCGGTCATCAATTACCTCAATTACGTACGGTGTTTTAAGGCACTGCAGTGCACCTCACGGCACGTGGATACATCTCAGCCGTGTCTGGCCCAGCTTAAGCTTGGCCCAAATCTAATCATGCCTGGCCCAACCTGAGCTTGGCCCAGATCTAGCCATGCCTGGCCCAGCTTAATTAAATCCCGAGTGAGTTCGAGCGCGAATCATTGTCTTTTGCTCTGAAGCTGTGAAGAAGCCTGTGATATCACAATGTCCTATGGGGCATAACACAGAACAAGAACTGTATCAGGCGCGCATTGCCAACAACCTCAGAGGAGGGCGTTGCAGAACAATCGCCATCATGCCGCTTGGACCACCAAGGGATATACCTTCATGTTAGTGTGAACCATACAGCATTGCTACACGATTACGAGCGTGTGAAGTCGCAATGACATTATGCAACAGAAACCTGCAATAATCACACAAAGCTGTGTTGATACCCTACTTATCTGGCACTACCGACACAGTTGTAATATTACAACTAATGTAATGTTACAATTGCGTTCTTGCATACCTCGTTCTCGCATTGAGCTCATCTACCTAGTTCACACCGCTGGTCTACCTCATAAATTCGCGTTACCTGAAAACACATAAGATGAGCCACATCAGCATGTCTGACGACAGAAACAATGCAGAGACGATTATCACAACTCTGTGCGCGGGATACCATGACAAAACACCCTCCGATGCAGCGTCAGAGATGGGTGACACAACGTCACGTCAACGTCATGTCAACGTCAACGTCAGATTCCCAGACGTCAAAATCGGGACGGAGCTCTCACTCCAGTGGTGGAATGCACCCCACGCACACTTCCGGGAAGGTGTCCCTCGCAGGTGATGCGCGGCCAGCGCGGGGTCAGCCCACATTGACGTCCTCGCCCGCACGCACAGCGCTGTCCTCACAGGCAAGCGGCTTCCCATCGCTGCGTCTCGGCGGCCCTACCGAATCACAAGGACGGCATCGGTTCGTCGCATCCGCGCACCAAGACCGGCCGTCCGGTCGTCAGGCAGGCCCGCAGGCGCTCAGCAGGGCCGCAGCCGTGCGGGGGGGGGGGGGGGGGCGGGCGGGGTCGGCCAGTGCGAGACCCTCACCCGTGCCCGTTCTGCGCAGCGGGAGATCCCGGCTTATCTTCCCTCTGCGCAGGGTGAGGCCCTCATCCATGTTCGGTGTGTGTGTGCCGCTGGCCGCTGCCCGCACCTGACCCTTTTCTGTCCGCGGTTGTGTCTGTACCCATCTGGCTGAGTACTTCGCGTGACCCTGACCCGCTTGACCGGTGCGCGTATGGCGCAGGACGCTGCCCCGCAGCCGCAGATCGCCGCCGGCCGAGTCCGACGAGCGGAGGCGCTCGATGCGCTTCTCCACGCGCCGGACCTCGCCCGACTCGCCCAGCTCGCCGGAGGAGCACGAGCCCTCGTTCAGCTTCTACCGGCCGGTGGGCGAGAGCTGGTCCGTCAGCGAACGGAGGAGGGTCTTCAGCCGCAACGCGCCGGCCGCCGGCGTCGAGATCAACGGCCTTACCGGATCTCAGCAGGACCCGGTCAACTGTGAGTCCGGGGGCGCGGGCCTGGTGACGCAGACAGCGTGCTCTTGCGGCAGGTATCCGTGCCCAAGCCATGTCCCATCGGGCTCAGCTGCGAAAATGCATGTGCGGGGATGTGAAGGGGTTATGGTAGCTTATTTTGACCCCCTCAAATGGATTGATGGAAGTGGGATCGATGTCACTTTTCTGTCATGCTGCCACGTTGGTATCGGTAATGCTCTATCTATGCTTCTGTAAAAACCATTTGATGAAATGTGAGTTGGGAGATCTCATAGCAGAATCAGAAAAGAATAAGATAAAATGTGTCAGAGTATGATCTCCCAGGTCACAACAGCGACAAATTTGAGGCCCAAGGCTTTTTTGCCTCTATGATTCGATTGCTCTTCAGTTTAACATCCATTTGGAGACAACTTCCGGTTAGCGTAGTTTCCCGCCACAAAAGTGTTCGCACCGGCAAATGGCGCTTCCTTTGAATTCGCTTTCAGCACGCTGGCATTACCCAGCTCCTACTTGATTTGTGTGATGGGAGTTTCGTGCGGGCCTCAAAAGAGCGAAGAGCTCTTTTTGCGGACGTCAGAGGAGCTCACTGGAGCATTCCGTTGACGTCAGCTTTCTTGTTGACTGCCATCGTTGCATAAAAACCTGGCCTAGTTCACTTTGTGTGCGGCCAAACTGTGAAATGCAGAGATCATGCTGAAGCCATTTATAGTCATCTATGAGCTGCGGGTTTATAATCTCTCGGCCACCGCCCGCTCACACCGAGCAGGGTCGAGGATGGGGACAACGCGACATTGTGCCGCAGCCCGGTTAGCTGGGTGGCGACGTCCAGGTTTATTTTCTGTTGCGACGTATCCTCTCAGCAGAGGGCGGTTGCGTGGCGCCGCAGGGGCCGGCTGCGTGTCACGCCGGACAGCGCTGGCGCTGTGCGTGCGCCAGCGGCGGGGGCGGGGCTGTTGACTGAGCTCAGCGCTCGTCACAGCGCAGCAGGCTCGGCGCTCGTCACATAGCAGCAGGCTCGGTGCTCGTCACAGAGCAGCAGGCTCGGCATGGCTGCCACACGGCGCCGCCACTGCTCGGCGGGTGGCGCCCAGAGGCTCTCAACCTCTGGGAAACCCGGAGCTCGCTCCTCCTCTTCTTTGTCGAAAGCGTCTTTGCTGTCCATGCGACGCTATTCACATTTAGGATTGGCAGTGGAATAGAAAGCAAAATTAACGATAGATATATGTCGCACTTGGTTCTTTAGTGGTATCAAGCTCGATGAAGCCCAAAGAACAAAAACAGTCCTGCGTGCAAAAATGAAAAAGTTCCTTCATGCACCCGATTAAATACCTTCAATTAAGTCAATGCTGCTCATACATACCAAACGAATAGTCACAATTTTGATTCCGTGCTATGAGCATGAGGCTTTTTCTATTCTACTGACTTTTTCCATGCTCCGAAACGCGTTTCATACCGTATCATTTACCATTTGTATTGAAATGGCAGCGCACGTGACACGTTTATGTGAGTCTGCATGATTTGCTTATTTTTGGAGCTTTAAGTGTCGTCGGCTGACGGGTAATGTACAGATGAGTGGCCGGGTGTGACCTGTCTGGAATCAGACAGCTTGCCTTTCCAAACTTGAAAAGTTTTCTGGGCAGAACAGCTATGCCGCGAACTGTAAGAATACGTCAAAACTAAGTTTGTGTACAAATAACGTGAAAGATTTGAGGTATGTTTATGACCCACGTACGATTGAGAGTACATAACAATTGCTTGTCTCATGGCTGGGGCACTCGGCGGCTGTCAAACCCAGGTGTTTTCGTTTGCGCATCGGCTGGGTCTTACAAGGGTGGACGGCACGCAGCAGCCCGTCCGAAGACTACTAGCTGGTTTTACGATCAGCCAGCTCGTTTAACACATTCTTTGTAACTATTCAGCTCTCAGCAGCATCCTCAGTTTGTTTTTCTTGCCAGAGATATTGACCATGAGCTGACCAGATCGACAGCCGTGAAGTCGGTTCGATCAGCTTAAAGGTCGCATACGCCAGGACATGATGTAGGTCATCACGGCTTTATAGTAGCTGATGTGGGTTTTAGATATAAAGTATGCGTCGCTCCGGACTTCCTCAGCAGCCTACATCAGCGCTAACAGCTCAGGCAAAACTACTCGAAAGCAAAGTACATAGCTCAATAGCCCTTTCAAGGATCGCTCGGCAACCTGGCGATGACCACTTCCGGCGCGCGTCTCGCTCGAAGCCTGGCGTTCGTCTTGGGATTCTCGATGGTCGATCTGTGATAGGAAAATGTGTGGCTCCAACCCCAGTGCTCCATCCCAGAACTTGGACAGTTGGCCTTTGAATCCTGTGACCCCCACTGGCGTCGCGCCGGTGCTCATCCTTGTCCCCATCCCACCCTTTTCCAGCGTACCTCCGCCCTCCAGAAGCCCCAGCCTGTGCCCTGGTGGCGACGCTCGCCAGCCGCCCGCCTCCTCCCACGTGCCGGCGTCTCTGTGGCCAGTCTCGGAGATGGGCGTGACGCCCGGACTGCGGCGGCGCCGGGAACGTCAGGAGCGGCAGCGCAGCTTCATCCGCGAGCAGGAGGAGCGCGGCTCGAGCTCGCCGGAGAAGGAGGAGGCCCGGCGCACCGACCAGCAAAACTGGAAGAACACCCAGATGAGCCGGCTGGAGGTGCCCGGCTCGGCGCCGCTCTCGCGGGAGTCCAGCTCGCACGGCATACAGGTGAGGGTGACGATGTGATAGGGCGAGGGGATGGGATGACGTTGATGACATGGCCAGGTAGCTGTGACTCGGCACTCACACGATACAAGGGAGAGGTGTAGAAGTGTGCTAGTGTAGAAGGACTGTAGAAGAAGTGTAGAAGGGTGCTTATGGGATGCAGGCAGTGGTGGCACAATCAGGGCACACCGGACTGACCGCAGTTCGCACGAGAATCACGTTCTGGTCAGCTCATTGTAACCTAGGAAATATAAAGAGTTTGTATAGGGTCTTACTCCGACAAGGATTTCCAATGTCTTTAACAGCTGACACTTGCATTGAAGCATGCATCGGCTCCTGCCAGTTGCACTGCCGCCTAACATGGCATCTGCCGGTGCAGCCGGAGCTGGCGCCGGGCCCGCTGCTGCGCTCTGAGTCGGGCGTCCTGAAGAAGCCCTGGGTGCTGGGCATGATGTACCAGAAGGCGGCGGAGGAGGCGACACCGGAGCCGGAGCCGGTGGCGGAGGACGGGCCGGCCGAGCAGCGGCGGGCCGACCTGGATCTTGACCTGAAGCCGGACAGCGTGCGTGACCTACGCCAGAAGCTGCTGAGCCAGCCGAGTCCGCTCTCGCCGGCCGATGAGCAGAGGCCCGGTCGCATCGGTGACTCCAGCGGCATCATCTCCAAGGCCAAGGAGGAGCTGTCACGCTCCAAGAGCAAGCACGACCTCAAGAGTCCGGAGGCGGTGCGGCAGGTGCAGGAGGCGCCCAAGAAGTCGGAGAACGACCTGCACTGGGAGCAGCTGATCCGCAGCCTCGAGCGGCCGCTGGTACTCGCCGACCTCGACTTCTCCGACCTGAACGAGCGCGACGACGCCGACCTGCCGGTGCTTGTCGCTGTCGATGAACGGCGGTCCGCCACCGCCGCCTGGCGTGCCGCCGCCGCCGCCGCAACTTCCGGGGATGCCACCACCGCCGCCGCCGCCGCGGCTGCCCGGCATGCCGCCTCCGCCGCCGCCGCCGGGGCCCATCTCCCGGCTGACGGCGAGCACCACCGAGGCGTGCAGCCAGTCGTCCTTCTACCGCAACAGGACCAACGGCCACAGCTCCGCCCGGCCAGCCAAGACCAAGAAGACGGTCAAGCTGTTCTGGAGGGAGGTGAGCACATTCTAGGTCTCTTGAAACTTGGTGGGTGTGTCGTGGACATCCTGGCAATCGAGTGCCACTTGTCCACCATGGTCGTCGAGCGCTCTTTGTTACATGACACATTTTATCACAATGGACCTTTTTTATAGACTCACATCCGTCCTAATTTTAAGCGTTACTTCAACCTTCGAGACCTAAATGACACTGTAATCATGTGCCTCAATTTTCTAACCTTTACATCTACGGTCCTGCACTGTCTAGGTGCGCGACGACTTCGTGCCGGCGAACCAGACCACCATCTGGGACGAGATTCCGCAGGTGGCCGTCGACACCCAGCAGCTGGAGCACCTGTTCGAGTCGCGTGCCAAGGACCTGGTGGTGAAGGTGCGCGCCGGTGCGGCGCGGCGAGCGGCGCGCGGCGCGCGGCGCCGGCCGAGACCGGGCCACGCCTAACCCGGGCCGCCGCAACGCGGGTAGAGTGCCGGCGCCGCCTAGGGCGCACTAATGGTGGAGCGGGCACCGGCGCACTTCGTGGGACGGCGCAATGCTTCGGGCTTAGATTTGAGTAGCGATCCGTCGGTAACGCGGACTTAACCCGGGTGAGCGGAGCGGCTTCTCATGAATGCATCGCAACGCGGCCATCTGTGGGGTAACTCGCGATGGGACATGCCCGGAGTCGGAGTCGGAGGCCTGGGACTGCGCTGACTCGCCGGCCGCCTGGGCTGCAGATGACAGCTCTGTAGGGACTCTAACGCTGGCCTGGCGGCTGTGGGCGCCCGCAGGTGGTAGTTGACCGTGACTAGCTGGTCGCCAGTGTCCTCGCAGTTTGTCACTAGTTACCGGCGCGCCTCGTCTATGCCTTGTTGGTCCCGTGAATGCCGTACTAATGCTTCTTTTTCCCTCATCTCTCTCTGTCTGTCGTCCACCTCCGTTCCGGCTTCTCAGGAGGTAAGACCTGTCGAACGTTGCCTGCCATACTGTGTCTCTCTGATCTTTGTGTGTGCGCATTTACTCGTGACTGATATGTGCTAGGTACTCCGTGAGGATCAGCGGGTTTTTACTGAATACTTCACTACGCGGCACTGTACGCGGGGTGCTGAAATATACAGTCAGCCCCTGTTATCTTTAGACGGTGTTTGATTAAGCCGTGTTACTGCATCAGGGCCTCGAACTCCTTTGATGCGTTTTCCAACTCTTCTCGTTGAGTTTCCGTTTATTTGGTATTTGTCTGTGATCCTGCTGTGTTGAAAGTGATCAGCATTGTCTGATGCAGCCTTTGCGTCATGTGATATATTTTGGTTTATATAATGTCCAATTTTCACAAACAACTCCATCTAAAGACACTGGTGAAAAATATTCCATTCGTTAAATCTTCACAGGCATATTTTATATTTTGTTTTCGCCATCGCACGGGGTCCGTGACATGTTAATGATTGATGCACGTGATAGGTAAATAGCTAGCATTGCCGATATATATATATATATATATATATATATATATATATATAAAAATGCCCATACGTGTGCGCACATGTGCGCTTCCTACCCCGATACATTTTGTCGTCCCTTTGCCGACAAGCGCCCATGTGTTTGAATGTCGTTCACTAACTGTGTACGGTCGGCCTCGGATGGACTGCCGTGAAAGGCACCAACACAAGGGCTTGCCGGCCGCTGTTCTGTGTATGACTAGGACTGACTGCGCTGACATATGTATTGTATTGCCAGTCGCAAGTAGTTCGTTCGGGTTTGCTTGACAACATGCTCTCATCGGCAGTTAGTTTAATTCACTTCTGCTGTCTCGCCGCCCGCTGAGTCCTCTGTGGCATAGTTTGCATATCTCAGAAACCAAATCGACCTGATGTGTACTAAGCTGTGAACCATTTTCACACCAAGCACTGTGAGCCTGACAAGGGGCTACATTTGCCACATTGTCCCATCAACAAACCGCTGATAGCATAGTGCAGCTAAGTGTACGTTGGCCGCGTTAACAGAAGCAGCAGGAGACCGAAGGGCACCAAGGAGATCGTAGTGCTGGACCACAAGCGGTCCAACGCCATCAACATCTGCATGACCAAGCTGCCGCCGCCGCGGACCATCAAAACTGCCATCCTGAAGATGGACGCTACCATCATCAACAAGGAGGGCATCGAGGCAAGGAGCCGAGTCAGCGGCCTGAATAATTTCCGAGATCCAATCTGCCAGTGTCTTTTAGCACATGGAATATGTTCGCTGCCGTGCGCGAAAATGGGAGTATGGAGGACGCGGTGGTCTGTAAACGACTACTCACTGGATAAACGTATTCTTGAACAGTAGCCGGATTTGGCGGGTTCGCAGATATCGGTGGACTTGGTAGCATCCATTGGACAATTTAAGTGAGAGATCATTTCTTGCTCAATCTATCGCCGCAAAAAGTCTGCAAAGATGAGTCTCTCCCGTCCGCAGACGGTGTTGACTGCTTGCCTCATGGAAGCCGCAGCGCTAATGCTGCCCGCAAAGTTTTCTCACTCCGACCCTCTGCATAGTCTGCTAACGGCGCTGCCGTCTGCAGAAGCTGCTGTCGCTGCTGCCGTCTGACGAAGAGGTGAGCCGCATCAGCGAAGCCCAGGTGTCCAACCCGGAGCTACCGCTGGGCTCGGCAGAGAACTTCCTGCTCACTCTCGGCTCCATCTCGGAGATCGCCGCCCGCCTCAAGCTGTGGGTGTTCAAGCTCGACTACGACAACATGGAAAAGGTTGGTGGTTGTGGTTGTATGGGTCGGTGGAATGGGAGGGTGTGGGTCGTTGAGGTGGGAGCGTGCGGGTCGGTGGGATGGGAGAGTGTGGATCGGTGGGATGGGAGAGTGTGGATCAGTGGGATGGGAGAGCATAGATCGGTGGGATGGGAGGGTGTGGATCGTCGGGATGGGACAGTGTACGTCGGTGGAATTGTAGGATGTTGGTCGCTGGCTGATGCATGGTCCAGTGGGTATGGAACTACATCGTGCGCTTGTGTATAGCCTGGTGGTGTCGGATAACAACACGGAGTGGTGTGTATTCAGACGTTTTTGGATGATGTGTGCGTGCGTGTTTTAGCGAGATGCAAGTAGCAACGTTTGTGCCTGAAGCCGAGGTTCAAAGCCGACCGCTAGATGGCAGTCGGCTCACCAGTCCCTTCCCCGTGTTGCGGCCCGTTTCTCGCTGCATTCTTATCGAGCCTGTTATATAAGCAGGCTTTCGGACTAACAAAATCTGGACTTCATCAAACTGCGCGGCATGCTAATTAGATAACTCTGAGGTCATAGGCACGGGCACGGGGATCGAGTTTTTATGAGAAGTCCGTCAACTCTTTAGCGTAGTTAGTCCTGCTTGTCTACCGAGTCACCATTCCATGACATGCTGATGACATAAAGCAAGCGTGGTGTAAACAAGAGGTAGGGAAGATAAACACGAATCTTTGTCGATGGACTGACTAGAGTTGGGTCAGAAATCCTGATCGATGCTGACGCCGGGTTGACCAGCGCGTCCTGAAACGAAGACGCTCAAAAATAGCGTGCGCAGATTGTAAAAATATGAGCTTAGAATGCATGCATCACAGACTCAAAACGCACACTTTATTGAATTGATCGGGAGTTGTCCAGCCCACAAAAAATATATGTTCAGCTCTGCCTTTGTCTGTAGACAGTGCTACCATGTCACCGTCTCGGAACAAGGTCCGCTTGAATGGAACAGCGTACGGGAAACTCACAGAAAGGCAGCTTAGGCTTGGAATAAACGCACAACCACAACCAGACTGATTACTTGGTCTGACCTGGTCGCCGTGTGATATCGATGCGTCGATTGTTACAAGCGAGGCCTCATGCTGAGCGAGCCTTAACGCCATCTAACCATCCACGTGGTGGTTTGCGTGCTCTGGTTCGGCAAGAAGCGATTTATCGGGCTAAAATCTTACAGTTATCAATCGAGTCATAGTACAACTTTCAGCAACAAGTGGGTTAATTCTGTTAAAGATCTGTCATGACACTTTCCAACCCCTTTAATGCAAGTTGTGAAAATTGCGGGCGTATTTCTGGATTGTTGCAATATCAGTGCTATTTCACCCCCCCCCCCCCCCGATTCGATTGCAATGGGAAAAGTATGATTTTCAAATCGCAATGAAGCCCTGGGATTGCGCATCTAGAAAACTTGCCACCTTTCACAGACAGGTCGGAACACCAGGAGATCAATAACCTTTCTCTGTCCGGGCCTGAAGGGTCTCTCGTCCCAACTCGGGGTACACGCTGGCTGTCGCCGGAGCCCTCGGAGGGACAAGTCATACATCGGCCCAGTCCCTGCTGCAAGAGGCTGCTGACCAGAGCAGTTGACCGCGTATTAACGGAGGGACCCGCAGTAATGCCAAATCCCCAATCGGCACAGGGGTCCAGTAATTGTCACCGGTAGCCCAGTTCGGCTTATCGGGCTTCTGGCTGGAATGGGGGGGGGGGGGGGGGCATCATCAGCGCGATGAAAAAGCCTTGTCAGTGCTCAGACCAGCGCGAAAAGCGTCCAGACCAGCGCGAAAGGTTCTCTGACCCTCTTGGTCTCACGGCGGCAAGAAACCGACTGTTCGGTGGCCCTCATTGTCCCAGGTGGTCCGATCGGCACAAGAGGCCCTATGCTTGACATATTTGAGGGCCTTGTCCCGCGCATCGCTGTCCCTTCACCCACTTGTGACCAGCCTTATCAGCAGGAAACAGCCTACGCTGAACTAAAGTGGCTGCCCAACCTCAGTCTTGAAAGTTCATGTCGTACTCGGTGCTTCTGATGTTGAGAATGCGATGTGGCGGGGTTGGTATGGATATGCCATGTATGCCATAACATGGGGACGTGCCATAACATATACGCCATATGTTATGGAAATGGCTTAGTTGAAGCATTTCGCCTCTCAAATTTTCGCATGACGACTCCTTTGATAAACCGTATTTTGCAGACCATTTTCCCATCAGTATAATATATAATACCAGTGACGTTTTTGTCATTGATTCGTTTGTGGCAAACAAGTTCTTCATTTTTGTTAGCCGGTACACAGTTTTGTCGCGTATTAAAAAGTATTTGTAGTGTGTCACGTTGCCATACAACGACAGCTCGGCACAGTGACTCTGAAGAAGAGTTGTATTAATGCCGAATACAATATTCGGCATTCCATTGAGGTATCAATCCCTTCCACAGCGTTTCAATCCCTTATTCCCTATCACGCGACCGCCGCGGTTATTAATGCCGACCTGGCTAATCCTGCATTGCCAGCTAACACTCTTGCCGTCTTATTTTATTTGACCTGACCCCGCCAACGGCGTTGTGTAATGTGGTGCACGTCTCCGGACGCCGCTGACGTACGTCCCTTTGGTTTTCAGGAAGTAGCCGAAGCCGCTGATGGACTTGAAACAAGGCGTAGAGCTGCTGAGTAAGAACAAGACTTTCAAGTCCATCCTTGCCATACTAAAGGGCATTGGGAACTTCCTGAACGGCACAGAGGTAAGCTATGCCTTGTTGCTATCCGAGATGAAAAGCGCTGGCTGACAACAAACTCGGGAGAGGCGAGGTGCCCTCAGCGCTCTCATCACATTGATCGGGCTACGATCCAGCATAAAGAAGGCCGTCAGATCGACCGCGGGCACGGGCGCAGGTTGGGCAGGCACCGGGCCACGCCCCTTCAGGTCATGAAGAAGAAAGGGACGAGACCCCGAATGTCAGAAGGCATCCTGCGTTGCCAGGAGCCCTCTGACAATGCAATGCACCTGTGTCAGTCAGGGGCCCCAGAACCGAAGAAGAAGCTTTTCGTCTACCTTTCTGTGAGGGCCCCATAAGCCGAACTTGGGTGCTTGTGCCAGTTGTCGGGCCTATGTGCCGATAAGGGGTCCTTTGGTGTCAGTGAGGTCCACTTCATCGATCGGGGGCCACCTGCCTCTTTGTCATGGAATGTAACTGATGTGCATCGCATGTCTCTGATGTTTTTTGGATCGATTAGGGACCATAGCCTCCGCGTAGCCAGAATGGTAGCCGGCTAGCACCCCTGGGCCGAGACGGAAAGACCCTTCAGCCCCTCAACAGGAAACTTAGCGGGGTCACTCGTGTTCTACCACAGCCACGAAGCCTTCGTATTCGTAAGGGCTTTGGAAGGCGGGAGACATCACTGGTGTTCAATCCACGCCCCCCCCCCCCCCGCCGCCTCCCCTCAATGCATGCCCTCGTCGGCATGACCAGGTAAAAGACGACGAAAACTGGGCCCCCCTGGAATAAGGTGGGCCAAGTCCGCCCCTGAGAAGGCAGGGTAGGGATGGGTACTTCTCTTTCACTGGGAGCCCTTCATCAAGCCCTGCACCCAGTTCAGCAGGATTGATTGCGCTCCTGAAGCAATGAATGAGGTGCTGCGTACTGCAGAGGATTGCGGCGCGGAAGCAGGACAGCGTCCATCGCATGTGCGTGATTAATGAACGGTATGCCACGCACATGCGTTTGTCAATTGTGTTCAGTGTCGTGTGTAAGGCTTGGAAGCAGGGTCATCGGGATCATGTTGGCCACAATAATGATAACTGTGATCGTGTGATTGTGATAGTCATAATGACGTTGATCAGTATGATGATGATTACAATCATATCATTCGTTGGAATAGTATCGCATTACCATCGTAATTATCATTATCATCATTCGTATTATGAAAGACGGCAATAGCGACAAAGATGGCTCGTATGATTGTAACTTTAACTTCAAGACACTCAATACTGAAGGCTTCGATTGACCTCTGCCCGCTCTGTGCCGCATCCAGGCGAAGGGCTTCAACGTGGACTACCTAGCCAAGGTGCCAGAGGTGAAGGACACGGTGCACAAGCACTCCCTGCTGCACCATCTCTGTCACATGGTGATGGACAAGTACCCAGAATCGTCTGACCTTTACTCAGAGGTGAGCGGGTCACGGGCTGGAGAGGTACCCGCAGACGGAACCGTCATCATCACGCGCGTTGCAGCGCAACCAAAGTCACGTTGGCTGTGTTGCGCTGCAGGCAAAATGTTGAGTTTTCCGGGTGTCTGGGCATTAGTGTTTGGCTGTTTGCTGATTGCAGCGATCGGGACACATGCGCTTGAGAGGTAATTATCGTGGCGTGCAAGCTTTGACATGCTCCGGCTGGCCGAGAGGCGCTGTTGCCGATTATCTATTCGGCAAGCACGGCCTGCTGGTGTTCTGCAATTACTCAACGACCATCATGCCCCAGGCATTTCACATGAACAGTAAACACTCGTGTATGGGGCTGTTGGAGGAAATCTGGGACGTATGCGATGTTGGCGTGGCCATGCTTTATATTTACTAAACAGTGCCCGTATATCCCACCACTGGGACGCCACGTCAAACTGGCCTGGCATAGCAGCAGCATGTGAGTCTCTGACTGTGACTTTAGCTTCGCTACATACATCGGCCGACTTGAAGACAATCAGCCGAGATGCGAGTGGCTAGCCGCATGTGTGCATCCCAGCCCGACTCAGAGCTGCCATCCAGATGGTGTCCGCTCGCCGAGAGGCGTCTCAGAGTCGCCTGGACACGGCGAGCGACTCCCCTCCCCTCGAGACAGCTGACTGCACTCCGCGTCGTCAGGTGGGCCCCGTCACGCGCGCCTCGCGCATCGACTTCGACGACGTGGAGGCGACCATCCGTCGGATGGAGACCGAGTGCAAGTCGTCTTGGGACCACCTGAAGCTGATCGCCAAGCACGACGGGCCCACGCCGATGCGGCAGAAGGTGTCCGAGTTTCTGGCCGACTCTGCGGAGCGGATCATCGTGCTCGGCATCATCCACCGCCGGGTCATCAACAGGTCAGGGCTGGCGTGGCGTCGAGTCGTCAACAGGTCAGGGCTGGGGCAGCATCAGGTCAGCATCAGGTCGAGGCAAGGGCAGCACCAGATCAGCAGCAGGTCAGGGTATGAGCAGTACCAGGTCAGCAGAAAGTCAGGGTGGGGGCAGTATCAAGTCAGCGTCATGTGAGAGCGTGGGCGGCACTAGGTCAATAGCAGGCCAGGGCATGGACAGTACCAGATCAGCAGCAGGTCAGGACAGGGGCGGCATCATATCAGCATCACGTCGGGATGTGGACGGTACCAGGTCAGCAGCAGGTCAGGGCAGGGAGTGCATCAAGACAGCTTAGAGCATGAATGTTTACAGGTCAGGTCAAGGACACAACACCCCGTTGTGAGCTGAATACATTTCAAGGATCGGTTAGCCGACCAGCTGTATCTGACCCTGACCTGTCTTGATCTGACTAGCTGCGAGACTCCGTTTTGTTTTGTTGGCGAACATATGATTCTGCCTGAACACACACTGGCGTGATTTTACGGGGGAGGGCGTGAAATGGTTCCGGTAGGTCATGCATGTAACCGACAATGGTTATCCTGCACGCGTGTGTGTGCAGTTTCCTTGAAAGCCGTTGCTTAGCCTGGGGCCCCTCTTCTAACTGAAGGAGTCTACCGGCTGGATGGGTCCCCAACGCAGGCTCTGCCCGGGCTGCCCAGGTTTTACAAGTTCCTCTCGTGGCTGGGCGTGCCGCCTCACCAGCTGCGGGACTCCTAGCTCTGACTCTGTCCGGGCTGTTCAGGTTCTACAAGTTCCTCTCGTGGCTGGGCGTGTCGCCGCACCAGCTGTGGTACTACTAGCTCTGACTCTGTCTGGGATGTCCAGGTTCTACAAGTTCCTCTCGTGGCTGGGCGTGCCGCCGCACCAGCTGCGGGACGCCAAGCCACGCCACTTCTGCAAGATCATCTCGGAGTTCGCGCTCGAGTACCGCACGACCCGGGAGCGCGTGATCCAGCAGCTCGAGAAGAAGGCCAACCACCGCGAGCGGAACAAGACGCGCGGCAAGATGATCACAGACGTGAGAGCACGAGCTGCGCGCCGACCGCAGCCGGCGCTCGGCGGCGGAGCGCCCTGTGATTGGCTACACCCGTCCCGTGTTCACGCATTTTATTACATGTTCCGTGTTTGTGTGCACTTTTGTTATTAACAAGCTAGAGTAAATCTAATTCGCCAAAAAGAGTTTCGCCACGGGTGTTGGGAGCTTTCTATTTCTGTCCATTGGGAGCTCTGGGACATGATGCGTTCTTACCAGCAGTGACTAGGCGACTGCTGATGCTTTCTTTTTCCTGGCGATAAGGTGATCAGGACATGCAAAGGCATGTAGCGGAGCTCCGGGATGAAAATGAGCCATTGATGGAAAGGCGATGGGGCACTGTAGTGGTCAAATTGTTGTTTTTTATCTATAACGGATAGGCAATGCGTCTAACTTATCAGTAAGGAATGCAACTGAAAGCTCCTCGTGACCACGTCTGTTGGCCTGGTGGAACGTTATGTCTGTTCGTTCCTCTTCCTGTTTTCCCTCCACCCTCTGGTGCGTTGTGTTCAGGACGTCGTTTTTACCGGGCCACGCGTGCCCTCGCCAAATTCATCAGTCCACTCCAGGGCCCAGCCCCTCTCCCCACGGAAGGGTAGGCAAAGAACCCCGCCCCTGTGCACAGGCGGGTCAGCTGAGAACCCCGGCCCCTCCTCGCGAACGGGTCAGCTAGGAAACCCGCCCCTGCCCACAGACGGGTCAGTTGAGACCCCCCCCCCACACACAGACGGGTCAGCTGAGAACCTTGTCCGTGCCCACAGACGGGTCAGCCGTACGACCCGGCGTCCGGCGCCGGCTCCCGTCTGCGGCTCCGCACGCAGCGCACCACCGAGGAGAAGGCCGACGCCGACCTGAAGCAGCTGCTGGGCACTGGCGACGCCTCCGAAACGGACACCCTGCGCGGCACGCTGCCCTGGCGCCGCAAACGCCAGAGTGAGCACGCGGCGGCGCGGGGAGAGGAGGCGCGAGGCGGCAGCCTGCTCGCTGGGAGAGTGCGGCCCGGGGTGCAGTGTAATCTGTCTGGAAGTCCTGTCGGTCTGGTACCATAATTCGCAAGTTTGCTTTTCTTTCTAACTTTCCAAAGCATCGAAAGGCTGTTGTTGTTGTTGTTCTGAATACGTAGCCAGGAAGTCGTTGAATAATATCTGGTCAGGCAGTGTCGCTGCATCTAAGTATTGCATAGCACGATATATCTGCCGTCGGAAACGCCAAGAACGTCGTGATTGTTAAAACGAGTAGGGCGTTGAGGTTGTTGTTCGAAACGATTGGGATGGTGTGCGTGATGACCGAAGCGCCAAAGACGTTTGCCGTTGGCACCCTTGAGAGCGTGTGTCGTTTGTTGGCAGGCCGGGCTGGTCACGGAGACAGTCAGGTCGAGGGCGACGACGAGATCCTCGAGTCGTTGGTGAAGTCGGCCACGCGCGGCCCGTCGTCCCGCTCGGGGCCCAGGGAGCGGCGCCGCACCTCCCGCAACTCGGAGCGAAAATCATGTAAGTGGCGATGCGCCGCTCTGCGCTCCGTGTCTCCGGTTCATTGTCCTCTGCGCGTGGTGTCCTCGGCTCAGTGTCCTCGGCGCACCGTGTTATCAGCACAGTGTGCTCTATGCAGCGATCGCGGCCCAGTGCCCTCTGAACAGTGATCTCGGCTCAAAGTCCTGTGGGCAGTGATCTTGGCTCAGTGTCCTCTGGGCAGTGATCTCGGCTCAGTGTCCTCTGGGCAGTGATCTCGGCTCAGTGTCCTCTGGGCAGTGATCTCGGCTCAGTGTCCTTTGGGCACTATCTTCGCGGTAGCCGTTTTGGTGCAGCATTTCATCGCTTACCGTGGCTGGGCTGTTGTTCTTAGGCTCTGGGATGTAGCATGGGAGCTGAAGCAGTGGGGTCTCCCGGCACTTTGCTGGACGAGTGGGGTAAATAAAATGCTTATGTCCGCCATAAGAAAAGGAGGCCTCTCCACCGAACCGCTCAACTAAGCATCTAGTGTAAACTAAGCCAGTTTCACGCGCGGTTGTACTGTCCGGTGCGTTGTCTTTAGTAAATAGGAACTCCGCGCTCTCGCCCTGGCGGTGTTTGCAGCTTTGCTTCGTCCTCAGTGAAGCGATCTCGCACGCGAGAGGACAGTACAATAACGGAGGAGTGACCGGGCGGCGGATGAGGGCGGTATGTCTAGCCTGCCCCTGTCCCCCAACCCGGTGTGGTGTGCCGTGATCGGCCGGTAGAGTCGCGCGGCCGAGCCTGGCGCCGCTCCCAGGCCGAGTGGACGCCCTGACCTGACCCGACCTGACTTGCCGTGACCCGGGCCTGCACCCTGACTGTCAGGCCGCGACGCGTAGCTTGTGATTCCGGCTCCTTGGCGCATTTCCGCTGACGCACCGCGACCGCGAAGACCGCGGAAGCACACTAAAGTGTGTCGAGACCCTGTTTCGCACCTCTCCTTACAGCTGAGCTCGTCCACGGGCGTAGGACGAGCGTGCTATCCCGGATCCGTTGTCCCTTCCCCTCACGCGAAGTGTTCCGTCGTTGCTGCTCAGTCCATGCTTTCCACCTTTCCCGCGTGAACGGCTTGGGAGAGTGCTCAGCTGCTTTGTTCTGGGACCACCGCTGTTGGGCCCGCGGGGCCCGCCAGCCTGGCGCCGGTCGTCCGCGACCGCGGCGCTGCCAGCGTAGGGCCCGGCACGGCCTGTTCCACCCCTTTTGCCAGCTGTTGGCCGGCTATCCCCATCGTTGGTCGTTCGGAGCTGTAAGCCAGCCTGAGGCGAGTTCTTCGCGAGTTCTTCGTTGGTAAAGTGGTTACATTTGGGAAAATAGTTACCTCTGACGTCACAGAGGGCTCCGTCACAACACGTCCCACGCTCGGGGCTCACAGCGGTCCGTGTGTGACGTAGTCACCTGCAACCTCACTGGTAGCTGGTTCAGGTGAACACTGGTTCATCGAAAAACATGTTTCTTCCTGTACATACTCACCCACGAAAACTGCCTCGGAAGGTTAGAAGCCGTCCCAAACCGAGACTGCGATGTAAGGCGCGCGTCACATCGTGCAGTAGTGCCTGCATTTCGTGGTGGTGAAGCCGTTGTTACCGCAGCTGTGGCGCTGACGGAGAACAGCTGGTGGTCGGAGATGCTAGTAGAGCTCTAGGGTAGTTGCTCGTCGTTCGGCACTTGCCATGGAAACAGTGCACGGTAGCCATGGCTGTATGTTTTCTCATCGTCATGTACCAGAAGTTCGTGTTCCCGGCGTCTAGTTCGTTGCGAACAGGCTGTAGATGATACAGAAGAAGACGTCGATGCTGTCATTTATATGGCGCTGAGAAATGCGTGTAAAAGTGTGTGTCGGCCATTTTGTTTCATGCTAAAAAGCACTGTAAATTTGACTATCAAGCATAGCGGGTCACAAAAACTCTCATAAATTCTTCGTTTGACACGGAAGTTTAAGGTCACTTGGTGGGGTCAGACTTCAACAAGTGCTGCTTAGCTTGGGCGTTAGTCCTACATACCCACCCAATCAAAATGTTGGGACTGAATCTGTAAAAGAGATGTCTTTGTGTGACAGGCCAAGCATTCACCGGAGTACTTCGCGGCGCACGGAGAACCCCTAGCACCTGGGAGGGGGGGGGGGGGGGGTGGAGAAAACTGGCCCTGCATTGAGAACTGCAAGCTGACAGGCACAGGCAGCGCACGTGATTCACAACTTCAAGCCGCGCGGATGAGTACAGAGGTCTTTATTGCTGTAATCCGCTCCCTGGCCTGTTATCCGTCAGCCAACGCTGGTGGGTGAGGTAACTGACGTCGATATCCCCGGTTTGCAGTGGAAACGCAGCGAGGCTGGTTTTGGTAAAGGTATGCCGCTTAGTGTGAAGTATGTTGTGCTGCACAGGTGCCCTCAAACTACTTCAATGATTGCTGACCTCGACGCTTTAACACTTTTGCCGGAGCCATTTTCTGAATGGTGTGCTTGTGTGCTTCATATTTTTTATAAGCTACATCTGAAAGGTCCAGGGCACAGCTTATTCTAAATGACAACTCATTGCATTTTCATTATTCCACATTATCTTGCGCACGCAGTGAGAGGCACCGAGTGCGTCTGTGCATTTACTGATACGAAAACGTTATATCTTACTCTTCCAACGCGGCGGGAAATTTGTAAAATTCTGTTCTTAATTCAATTTTCCATGTAATATGTCAAAATTTGTTCTTGGAAAATTATCTACCTGCTTCTTAGCTTGGGGCTTTTTGTGGACGTACAGCTTCTGCGTGACTGCCGTGCCGTGTGCAGTGCTCGAGGTGGGCATCAGCGCCATTTGCTTTTCTGTCTAGTTTAGGCGAGCTTTTTGTCTTATAACTTGCGAAAATCGTAGCGCGGCATTCAGTGTGCAATACAGGACGGAGGAGCTACAAATGCCCCTCCGATGGCGTGGGCTGCCCACCAATATTTTTTTGTCATATTTCCGTTCGTTTTAGTGTTAGAAATAATCGTCTTGTGTATTTATACACACAAACTGTTCTTAGAAATTAGCAGGACAGTATGCTCACTTTTTATTTTCTTGGCTATGCATATTTCATTTCGTGTAATGTATTATTTGATGAGTCGCAATGTGGATGAGTGACCCTTTTATCTAAATCTAAAGCTGGCATTTGACTTTTCTTTCACCTGCTCTGCCGAGCATCGAAAATATTTTTAGACGTAGAGGGCTAAATGCGTAATATCATCGTCGTCGTTAGTGCGCCATCACGTCGCTGCTTCCTGGTATCGGCATACCAACACCGCCACCGCCGGGATCAGAGTGTGAATCAGACATTTGTCAAGACACTGGACTGCGCAGATCCGAAAGTTCATCCGCTAGGCGCGACGCTCGCTTCTCCCCGACTCGTGCAATCCTCTGTCCGCACCCGCCGCCGGGCCTCGCCCGTGCCTGACAGCCCTCTCTGCCCTCAGTGCGTCGGACGCTGAAGAATGGCCTGACGGAGGAGGAGCAGCGCTACCTGGTGGCTCTGGCTGCCAAGGTGCAGCACTGCTGAGCCGCGCCCAGAGCCAGAGCCGCCCGGCGTCCAGGCGGAGTGGTATCGTGACGGACCAGCGCGCCGTGTCGTGGCCGGCTGGGCCGGGACGACCGAGTGGCAACACCCTGCTGGAGCCGTCGCCGCCGCCCACAGAACCGACCAGTGTGTGTCTAGTCGCAGGAGAGGACATACAGCGCGACTGGCAGATGGGGAGCCGGCGTTCGCTGTTAGTGTAAACACGGGGCCGCTGGCTCGACCGCAGGGCACCCGCTCGCTGGTGACGGAGCCTCTGCAGGCGCGTCCTGCAGCCGCGCGCGTGGCTTCGCTGAAACACGCTGCTTCTGAGAAAAGCGTCGTGCTCTGGTCTGCGGTCCCTGGGGCACGCTGACATGACGTATCGGTTGATATCGTGCGGTCACGGACGACAGCCTGTTGAGCAGTGTCAATAAGAGTTGGTTGTACTTTTATACTAGGCCCCGCGGGACAGCAGCGCCTGACGCTGTGTCCGTGAGCAGGCCTCCCGCGTGTGTGCCCGTGCGCCGTGTACTGAGTGAGCGGATGGGTCGGTCGGAGGCCCGCGCGTGGGGCGCCGCCGTTCCCGGCAGTCCCGGATTGAGTGCCTGACTGTGATATTTCCCGCAATGTGACTCGTGCGCGACCCAAATACATGTATCGGACCGATTTGATGGGCGTGTCTGCTGATAGCGTTTTTTGTTTTCTCAGTTGTCCAGAGTTGCCCAATTCCGTTAAGCGCTTTTGTCGAGAAGTGAGGTGCTGTAAGCAGTCTTATGTCTACCACTTAAAGTGTCGCCGGGCCTGTTGAACATTCACGACGTTGTACCACCCACTGATACAACGACGTAATCAGAAAAAGACGCAGGATGTCGTTCTGAACGCCTTTCGGACAGACACCACATGAGATTGGCAGTCAGAGAACTGAGGACATCCCAGAGAAACGCATGAGGCTGATCCCCAACAACACAGATTAGATATCATTTCAGAAACCTGAGGATCGTCATGCAGCCATGAGCCGGGAGCTGTCAAAGCCGCGGTTGGAGTGGTTCATTGGCAAGGTGCCAACCGGAACTGAAGTATGTGTTCAACAATGAGATCAAGATCGACTGATCTTATTCTACACAGCTCAGAAATTAGCAGCCTGACTTTAGCTTTTGTACGTCAGAACTGTGCTCAGCGTATACGACTTGTATTCATAGCAACTTGTATTACTAGGGCCAAATCATGATCCTCTGGAAATTTTCAACATTCAGCCAGAATCGAATGATGGTACAGATTATGCAGCGTATTTTTGAGCATGCGCGCTCTCATGCCTTAGCAAAAGGGAACATATTTCACCGGTGCGATTTGAGGAATGGTGATAATAGAGGATCAGCCTTTACAGCACCGCAAAATGGTGCTGAAATCTGAAGAGTATGAGAGTAGAGCTGGAAGAGCACAAGAGATATCTCTAGTTGTCGTGGTCCTGTAACGATTGATCTGTCCAAGAGGCGATCTTAATTTTTTAAAGAAATCATCCAGTTTAATCTTTGAACTGTATTAATTCATTTTGAAAGACATTCAGAAACATCATTTTACGGTGGGCACGGAAGCTGCAATTCAGGCCATCGCTTTCCTAACTTCCTGAGATTGCGGGCGTGTCATTGGGGCTTTGCGAAGCTGTCAGCTGCTAACGCTGTATGGTGGCTGCAATGAAAAATCCACTGTGCCAAGGAGTGATTTTAACAAAAAAGGTCATGTCGTCCGATAAGCGATTAACATCGCCGGCTGATGGAGCTTTTATTTTGACATCGTGCTGACATGGTCGCGCGCGCCGCGTGCGAATACAAGCATTGAACGCTGTATCTCTGCAAATTGCAGCTGAGGCATTCGCTGCTGGATGGGTGAGACACTGTCGGGTGGTCGAAGGAATCAAATAGATTTCCTTGTCACAAGGACATTCAGAGTCAGACAAGTCTGAGTCAGACTAGTGTATTCTAATGGAAGCTCAAAGACCTGTCAAATGCACAGTGTCGCATTCCTTGCCACGACTACAGGCATTGTTCCTGCCTGATTTAAACACAAAAGGTCATGTCGGCAAAATAATGATTCTCGTTGCCGGCCCACAGTGATCCCGAAAGGTATTATGTGCACAAAATCTCAATCGTCGCGCAAAACTGAAGTATATGAGATTGGAGACCGCGCTTTTGCAAATTGCCGCAGCGGCCAACACGCAAGCATTTAGCGAGACACTGAAAAAATAAATAAATAAAATAAAATGAACTTCCTATTGAGACAAGTGAGGTGTACAGGAAATACATATCCCCATACCAGCGTCATCGGCACCCTTTGCGCGCGATTTTAAGTCTTTCCCGCGATTCTTCATGTTGCTGGCAGGACGGCAGCAGATATCAATGCGCAGTTAAGGGATGATTTGATCGAAAAGTTCCTGCGGGAAAATGAGCGATGTACATTGGAGACCGATAGTGCCACCAAAATGACGTCGTGTGCACATGGTCGCACCCACCGCGCTGCAACACAAGCATTTTCGATTGGGCGCATTGGTTTTGCAAATCAGCACTTCGGCCAGCCGGCCACAGTTGAGTAAGCCATCGACAGAGGGCGACCAAATGCGATGAATTCCCTAAACGGACAGTTATTAGTTGCGTCGTAGTTAGCAAAGTGCCGTCATGGGGGTGATTTCAGCAACAAAGCACATATTGAACGATTTACATTCACGACCGATAGTGTTTCGGCAGTGTCATTCCATGCACAGGGTCTCACCCGCCGCGCACGACTTATTTTTGTTTCAGTCGGCGTGACATCGCAATCATTGAAGCGACCGGACGACCAGCATTGGAGAGAATGTACCACGTATGAGAATATCAAAGCATCTAGTATGATGAAATAAGCTACCTTTTAACTATTGGTATACTTTTTATGTGGAAGGGATTGCTCTAGACAACCCAATTTTTCTATTTAGTAAATATGTCCCACAATACGTCATCGTCTGATTACGTCATTGGCCTTGCGGCACATTGATTGGGAGCCGATTGATAACCATTGTATCAAGAAATCGTGCTTATGAACTCGAGATATGAAAGAATCCCCATTTTTTGTCATGGTCTTGATCGCCACATGGCTAATGGAATGGCAGGATCTGAATGCTGTTATTATGAGGTCATGGATGCCTGGGTGACCCTGGAATAGCATCCCCGAAATAGTCTGCACATCCTCGTGGGCGTGTAGCATAGAAGCTAGAGCATGTAGGTCTTGATAAGGACGGGACTGTGAACTGCACCGAATGATCTTCAATATATTTTACTTCAGGTGAAACATCTTGAGGATCATTCGGTGATCATTCAGATCATTCGGCAGGTCGACCAGATAAAATGGATGCTGTAATGGTACGAGTGTATTCTTCTCACATCCGATAGCCCGATTGTAGTCCTATAAAGAACACACATCTGCCATTGTCGTGCCCGAATGTAAGCATTTTCAGCGGGCTGCTGTATTCAACTCAGTGCGGTGCGAGCCGACCGCCGCAGTTGCAACACGCCGAGGAGGTGTAGATAAGTGAAAAAGCTCATTTCGGCAGATGAACGATTTAAATTCCCGACTGATCCGCTTCCATAATGACACGGTGTGTTCCTGATAGCACCCGCCGCGCAGGAATAAAAACACTTGTAATTGAACGCCATCACTTTGCAGATGAAGGCTTCATCCGGCCGGAAGGCATTGAGCGAGACAACGTTGGGTGTCGACCAAATCAAAAAGATTCCTTGTCCCACAAGAGTGTCAAACTCTCAGCTGATAGCCCTATACCAGCGCTATCGAATGCACACAGTTGCACAAGTTAGCGCCCAATTATGAGCATTTTCCTGGACCGTCCTTATGTTACCATTACGCCACGGGCAGTCCGGCAGTAAGAATTAGTGGGCAATGGGAATGTCATTTGGACAAAAGAGGTGATGCCGGTAGATAAGCCATTTGCATGGAGGGCCGAAGAGTGCACTCTTCACACAGAAGAGGCCGAAGAAGGCCTCTTCTGCACAAGGTACGACGACGCAATGAAATAAGGACGCGTTGAGGCGCATGCTTACTAAATAGAGAAATTTTATGGTCTAGAACAGTCTTCTCCACTTAAAGGTATGTCAATAGATAAATTGCTCATTTTTTAAATTGCTCAATAGCTCATTTTATAATATCTGATGCTCGCTTCAATATTTCTAAATGAGGAACATTCGCTTTAAAACAAAAGGCTCATCGCGGGTAATTACCATGTACTGTGTAGCGGCACCAGCCTTACGCTGTTTTTAAGTCGAGCTCCGTGATGGCAATCCTGCACCAACCATACCTTAATGTCAATCGATTGCCCAAGAATTGCGGTGGAGCCTATCCCATTCTGCCTCTTGTGAGCAACCGATGTGCGCTTCGGATCTAATGACGTCATTAATATACCTCCGTTGCACTAGTTCTCGGATTGTACCCACTGCTTACAACCTTGAATATTTTGGAGTCAATCGAGAAGCGCCAGTGGGAGGTGTTGCTGCGTAGTGTGCGGTCGAGGGACGATATAGGTTATTGCAGTGACCAAGCTGCTGAAAGTGGTATTTGTTAGAAGCATAGCTGATATATTTCACTCCACAGAAGGTGAGGCCAGTTTGTATAACGCTGAGGGATGGTTTCCCGTCTTGTTGATGCGGTGGAGACGCGTCGTGTTGTGCTGAGATGCGCCTAGCTAACAAGTGCTAATCGATTCCGAAGTCAAACTACATCGTTTGAACTTGTACCAGTTCGTGTAGCACTCTGAAACTATGAAGTCATGCCAAGACATGCCTGTGAAAATAGTCAGTCAATAGTGTCTACATAATTTGTGCATATCCAAGTTTCTATACTGTATCACATGCACACATGATACTCATACGTACCCTGTTAAAATGTGATCATTTCAGGAAAACCTGTGGTCTGAAGTAGTTGCAAACACAGTTGCATTGAAAAATATTTTAAAGGTATCTCCAGCCAAAATGATTTGGTCTTACAATGATATTTTTGAGCATTGATTCTGCTGTTTCTAATGGTTTGTGTCTTTTGCCTTGCGTCACAAACTTACGTCAAGCTCATCATAGTGTTTTAGACTGACTGTATAGCTGCTGAACAGAAGCACAATGCTTTTCCATGATGTCCTAGCATTCCACCCCATGCTCACCCATCCGCCCATTCACTCGGGAACCAAAGAACCCAACAGGCAGATGGAAGGGCAACTACATGCAGTGTGAAAATTTTTATTTTTTCTGATAGTGGAAGAACAGTGTTGTGCCAGCAAAGGTGCAGAGTGAAATAAATACTTTAACTTGTGAATGTTAGACCCCTTCATTGGTGTAATGAGCAAAGCTTATCAATTTCCGCTGCTGGTACCAGCAAAAATAGGTTTCTACTTGATGTCACCAGTTGAGCATGCCATGATGCTGGCCTTTTTTTCTGGTTGAGCAGTAATTGTACAAAGAGGAAATATGTGTAAGAAAATATGTTGGCAACCTTGGATGAGTATCTTGCAGCTCATCTCCAACAAAGTATAAATGCAACTGCAAAAAATGCTATCAACAGCTAACCACCCTCCTAACCACCTGTATTGGTGCCTGAATTGGTTATCAAGCTTTTCAAAGTCATTGGTTGTGCTGTGTTGACCAATTTTGTACACAAATGCTGTCTAGCTATGGGACCACATGTCTGACCACAATCACATTAGAGCAACATATTGCATGCACCAATATATGCACCTTACATGAAGTGCTTACATTTCAAATGTGGATGCTTAATCCTTCGAAAACTGCACTTAAGTCATAAAATAAAAAATCACACACAGCTTTTTACTTTGTGGCTGAAATAGTGTTTCTCTCTAGCTTCACAGTGAGGTGAGGGTTCAGGTCAGTACTTGCTCATTAGTTGCCTCTGACTGGAATGACTTGTGTCAGTGGCTGCTCAAGGCCAGATGAGGTCAGAGGGTGGGGCAGCTGGTGCTGGGCATAGTGCTCTGGTAAGCTTTCATCACAAAATCATGCTGTGACTCAGGGATTTTATTGTCTGATAGTGGTGTTCATGATTCACAAAACAAACCCTGATCAGCATAGACTATGCTCCTAGAAATTTGTCCATTAGAAGTCAGACAAATAATGATTTTTTGGGACAGAAATTATTATGTGATGAAATGGGATGCCAGGAAGACAAAATGTAAAATAAGTATGTAAGACATCGATCAGTAAGATGTTAAAACAGCACCGATGGTGTCCACACCAGTTTTCAGGTCGGTGGTTTGTGCTGTGTATGCGGCAGGTCTTTACTCACGGCTGTGTTTTTCGCCATTGCAGTGTTTTCTGACGGAAGACAACAACTTGGCCTGTCGCAGCTGGCGGGGGAAGAGAATCGCTCGAGCGTGATGCTTGTGGAGCACATATCGCTGGAGGCGGCGCAACAGAGGCCGGCAAGGCTCGTTCGGAAGAGGAGAGCACGAGGTAAGCCCGCAGCAGTCCCGGCTGCGCGCAACGTTACACCACATCAAATCATTGGTTACTCCTGCCTGCATTTCAGGGGATTCGGCCCCCTGTTTCTTTTTCATTTTTAATGCCAAACCATTTTAGATATAGCAACGCAATTTGCTGACTTCCTGGCTATCAGATGATGGATTCCGGCTGAATTTTCATCCATGGTTGCTCAGGTCGTCATTTGTGGAAGCGAAAGTGTGTGTTTTTTTTTTGGTAACCGTTCATATACTTGCAGATGAAGTAAGTGGTAACGTATGCGGCCTTTTGAATGATATCGGGAAGGGGGAGTTGTGGCCTAGTCCTAGTCAGAATTTCGCCCAGGAGTGGGCCAAATCGGGGCAAAAGGGGACTTTTCGGCCAAGGGACCCCGCTTGATTGTTTTTTGAAGATCTTACATTAGCCCTATCTATGGGCGTAGACCGGAAAGAAACGACTGAAACCTGGAAGAGTCGTGACCGAAATATGGGTGTTAGCCCCCCTTTTCTTCATCTTGGAAGACTTCCGTCCCCCGAGGAACTTGTAAAGCACAAGGTCTTCACCACTACTGCTCAATATCCAAATCATAGGTACGCAAACCCGCTGTCATAAATCGAGCTCGAGCGTGAGTTCAGCGCAGCACACAGCACAGATTTGCCTGCGGCCTTTAGTTCATAAAAGGTACTTGCACCACGGTCTTGGGATGTTTTTTTCAACGGACATGCCTAAGTAATTCGCCATTTCAGTATACGCTAGACGACTGCTCCGCATTTGTAGGGGGTTTGCACTGAGGTGTCCATTGTTTTATTTGGGTCTGGAGCACGTCAGCACGAATCATCATATCGACAGATAGCAATTGGCTTTCACGCAGTTTAGTGCGTTGAATGCAAGTCTTGGTCATTTACCGCGTCTTGCGATTCTTTATATGGACATTTGGCCAGCTCTGCTAGTGATGACGGACATGAGACTGGCAATTGAATAACAAGAATGACGCTGTAACCGAGAATACAAATGCAAGTAAAAAAACATGCCGTCACGAAAAAATATACAAGGACACCACAAGAAGGGGCAAAACACGCGTATACAACGATCGTCGGTCATTTGAAACACATAAATTAACGAGGCTAACGCGTTGAAGTCCTACGGTTGAGTCAGCCCGTCCGCTACAGAGATAAACTTGACACAGCTAATCTGACAGCAGTTCTAGTGCCATAAAAACGGTACATGACGCAATCAGACTGCGATGTAGTGAGCACCATATTTTCTAAATGATGGTACCTTTTTAGCTAGAGGAGTTATGCATTTAAAGGCATGCCAATGGAAGCCAATGAGTTTTCCATCTTATTTGATGCTTGCATCAATATCTTCAAATTTAGAACATGCCCTTTAAATAAATTGGTAGTTCATCTGCAAAGGTTCATAGTAGTTTTTGATCACCATAGTGGGGCCAATGGACCTCGCAATATCAGGGGAGAATTAGGGCTGATATAGGGTATGAAGTCTGACATCCAAGTGAGATTCGGCGCTTGGGAAAAGTAGCAGATGGAGAGGTGAATCAACCAGCAAAGGGATTTTTGGATCTTGCAAAACAGTTTTTTAATTGTAATACACTGACTTCCCGTATGATGAAACCCTCCGTGCATGCCTGCTCCGGACTCAGAAGGCGACGTCGGCGATTGTTTAAACAGGACACAGCGTCGCAATACACATCTGAGTGGAGCAGGCCAGGTCGCCAGTGATCGCGCCGCACCATGGACGTCTGTTATGCTGGCGTACCGACGTCCTGCGTCAACGTCACCCACAGCCATCAACACCAAAACACAACGGGCCTCACCCGCCCCGGGTCTGGGCGGCACGCCCGGCCCGCTGCAGGATGCGCTTGTATAACGACATGGTCAGCTCCGGGGCATGCACGGCTCAGCATGTGCAGCTCTAGAGCATGTTCGGCTCAGGATGTATTGCTCAGCATGTGCAACTCTTGGACATGTACGACTCAGCACGCACAGCTCCAGAGCATGTACGGCTCAGCATGTACAGCTCTTGAGCATGTACGACTTGGCATGTACTTGGCACGTACTTGGCATGCACTTGGCTTGGCATGTTGGCTTTGGCTTTGGCTTTTGCCCTGGCTGTAGCTCTGATTCTAGCCCTGTCTCTGGCTTTGGCTCTGGTTCTGGCTTTGGGTCTGGCTTTAGCTCCAGGTCACTCTCCCGCTCCTTTTTTTTTGCATTTCAGCTTTGAATAATTTGCATCGTGTGCATATAACCTTTGAAAAGTCAACTTTGCTCGTGGGGCGAATTTTTGCCAGTCATATTATAACCGACCATTTCGATAAACAATACTCTGATGTGAAGAGTGCTGTTAGATTACTTAGATTTCAAAACCACTGAAGATACCTGTGCATGTCAAGTGATGTCACAGAGTCGTAGAAGACATTGGAGTACTAATCATAATGCACAGTGCACTGACGATCAGGCTGGGCTAGCGCACTTGACCTATGGTAGACACATATTACAGCTGCAGTCACAACCGATGAAAAGGAATCTCAGATGCTGCATGCAGGCACTTATTTCAAAGGTTTAACCTTGCGTGACCTTTAGAAGGTCAATGGTCTTGCATGCTAGTGCTCAAACAAAAGCGAGTTGAGAAATCTACAATCGCTAAAGAAGCGCGTTTGCCACATTTACTTGGCAAACTATGCCTACCTGCACTCAACAGTTTCGTATTTATCGGACCCGGCGTGGACTTGTCTCCAGAAACTCACTGCCATTGGTCGCACGACGTTCTTCAAAATGGTGCTGGGGTGATGGATCCTGATAGAGCATTGCCGCAGGTGTAGGTGCCATGCATTCCATGTAAAATGATTGGAAATGTATGACCTAGGTTGACCTCTGATGGCCCGGCCCGTCGCCCTCAGTTAAGGTCTCCATCTCCGGCGCCAAAATCCGCTATATTTTAAAGCAATCTGGTGGCGTGGCCCAGTCGGTAATAATTTAACTGCATTGGCGATGGGGCGAGAAGCATGACTGATATGGTCTTCACAAATAGAGCATACCTCGCAATCTATTGATAAAATGTGCAGAAAAGCTGGCATGAGGTGCAAGTGTGATAACTGAGCTACTGAAAAAGTCAGCATAATATCTTGAATGGCTGCCAAGGTATTCAAGCGTCAGTGGTGCACTTCACGGATATCATTTGCGCCATGGTTGTTTTAGCCTGCTTTACTGCTGTTAAAATCGGAGAATGGGTCGGCGGGCATGATAGCATGCGTCACTAACACAATGGAACTGCTCTCGGCCAGACAACTACCCATGGAGTTGTAACACGGCTTGACAGATATAACCTAACTTTTATTGCTAATGCACTTACAAGTATGATCGTGTTGCTGGACATGTGCTGTCGCCCCCACACAGATGGCTGTGAATGTCCCACTGCCAGGGACCAGTACAGCTGCTGCATGGCCTGTAGGTCATTAGCTACTCATTAGTGTCAGCGGGGCTATTACCGGGGCGAAACAAAGGGAACGCAAGCGTGCTTCTGATGGCCGACGGCAGAGGCGGCGCCCCGGCAAGTGTCCTGTATGTTTTCTCTCGGCAGCCGCCTTCCGAGGTAAGAGGAGAGTCCGGAGCTGTAAACTCTGGCGTATGCTGCTGCTGCGTGGCCTTGGTGCGCGTAAACCACCGCCGATGTGTTTCAGGCGTCACCAGCCATGGCAGCCGGGAGCGGACCAAGGTGCCGCGCTGCCAGCTGACGCCGGTGCCGATCACAAAGCGTGAGTATCCCCCCTCCCCCCCCCCAACGTCCGTCCGTCTCCCTCTGCCGTGATCGTTCACTTCGGGCGCTCTGCCTCCGCCTGCCATCAGGGGAATGTCTCTAGGCAGTGCACTGCCAAACTCAAAACTCCCGACGCGTCTGGTTCAGAAGTTTTAGCCAATGTACAACTGGTGGTTTTTCGTTTTTTTTTTTACTGCAGCGGGCAGCTGGAAATATACTTCGGGCTTGGTGCACCCTCCCCCCCTCCCCCCTGGTTGTCATATGCATAATAGTAGGGAAGGCTGAAAATGATCAGGGGCATTTGCCGTAACCTTGACATGCCGTTTGCGTCAACGTTTTGCACATTTTCAACGCAAGCCTATGCTGTTCTCCCGTGGCCTTAGCCAGATGGCTGTCAGTTGCCAGCGGCCAGTCTGCTGTGTGCTGTGCCAAGCCTGTTTTCCGATGTTTGTAATGGGCTTCCTGCATTCGGCACACGATCAGGAGGTCGGTTATCACCCGTCGAGGAATGTAAGCGCCGCCCAGCCATACCAGCCGCTCGCAGGGGTTCTCAAGCTTGTGCTCAGGCTCAGACCGGCAACCGTGGATTTCAAACTTCTCGGAATGCGCAGCTTCATGGCAGAGCGCTGCGTCATGCTGTCTGTTGGATTTTTCACTAACAAGATTAGTGACAAGTACGGCGAGATATAAACATTTCCTGCGAAGTTAGTGTCATCTGAAATGCATTTTGGTCCCTATGTACCAAACATTTGCTTTATGTGCAGGTTGTGTGTACACGTACCTTTTAGGTGTGTATTTATATACGATGAGCACGCGAGCTGCGGACATTTTGTGTCACTTGTGATGGTCGCCAGCCGACGATCCCGGGCATTGGGATGGGGCCGGCGGTGGAAGCCGGCGCTGCCGCCGGATGCGGTACCCGTTGGGATGGGGTCGGCGGTGGAAACCGGCGCCGCCGCCGGGAGCGGCACCCGTTGGGATGGGGCCGGCGGTGGAAGCCGGCGCCGCCGCCGGGAGCGGCACCCGTTGGGATGGGGCCGGCGGTGGAAGCCGGCGCCGCTGCCGGGAGCGGCACCCGTTGGGATGGGACCGGCGGTGGAAGCCGGCGCCGCCGCCGGGAGCGGCACCCGTTGGGATGGGGCCGGCGGTGGAAGCCGGCGCCGCCGCCGGGATCGGCACCCGTTGGGATGGGGCTGGCGGTGGAAGCCGGCGCTGCCGCCGGATGCGGTACCCGTTGGGATGGGGTCGGCGGTGGAAGCCGGCGCCGCCGCCGGGTGCGGGACCCGTTCCATGACGCGTTGTGGCGGGAGCGCTGTCTCGGCCGCCGTCAGGAGAGTGGTCCACATCGGCGGCCGAGCTCACCACCATTCCACACCAGACTCCGGCCCGGACGTACGACCGCGCTGGGCCGGTGGCAATCAGCCGAAATGACTCCTGTCAGCCCAAACGGCTCCTGTCAGGCACCGCCGCCAGCCTGTTGAAATACGGTCCCAGATAGGCATCAGGGGTCATGGCAGCCGCTGGCCACAGTCTCTGGCGCGGACGGGCTACAGCCGCTCGATTAATAACCCATGCATCATGCATCCAGTCGCCCACACTTCCTGCTACCGTTTCATTTATGGATGTGTGTTGGCCATTGTCGCCCTGGCATGAGCCATATTCGTCGTCTAATGTGCGTGATCCATCAGCCGAGGAGGTCCCAGTGGCACGCCGTTACAGTTTGCCAGGCAATTTCAGGTCAGCCACGTGACGCACTGCGTACTGTATGCGTGATGACCCCGCACCCGTGCCTCCGTGCGTTCCCGCGTGGGGCCCGTATTGGGCCTATGTCTGATGGTATGCTGTGTATCTCAGATGGAACCGCTTGTCTTAGTGTCTCCGTGTTGGCTCTCGGTATGCATGTAAATGCTGCGTTGGTGTGCGCGTGTTTTGTGTGTGTCTGAAATCTGGGTGAGCCGGTGCCGGCGAACCCGGTCGATCTGTTGGTGGGTGCTGCTGACCGCCCAGCGTGAGCCGTCTGCTGACCGTCCAGCGTGTGCCGTCTGGTGGCCATGTCAGCGTGTGCCTTCTGGTAGCCATGTCAGCGTGAGCCGTCTGCTGACCGTCCAGCGTGAGCCGTCTGCTGACCGTCCAGCGTGTGCCGTCTGGTAGCCATGTCAGCGTATGCCGTCTGATGGCTATGTCAGCGTATGCCGTCTGATGGTCGTGTCAGCACATGCCGTCTGCTGACCTTGTCAGCGCATGCCGCCTGCTGACCGTGTCAGCGTGTGCCGTCTGCTGACCGTGTCAGCGTATGCCGTCTGGTGGCCGTGTCAGCGTATGCCGTCTGATGGCTTTGATAGCGTATGCCGTCTGCTGACCGTGTCAGCGTATGCCGTCTGCTGACCGTGTCAGCGTGAGCCGCCTGCTGACCGTGTCAGCGTATGCCGTGCCCGGGTACCGGGTGCCTGACCGTCGTTGGCCGTTTTCCAGTGGAGCCCGACGAGGACTCGGGCCTGGGCCTGGACGAGCCGGGCGTTGGCGCCCTGGAGACGGCCCAGCTGATCCGCTCCGGCATCACGGCCACGGTACGTCGCCCGGGGACGGGAGGGACCGGTGGCGGACCAGTGGCGGCGGCACGCTGACGGGCGCACTGTCGTCCGGGGACGGGAAGGACCGGTGGCGGCGGCACGCTGACGGGCGCACTATCGTCCGGGGACGGGAAGGACCGGTGGCGGCGGCACGCTGACGGGCGCACTGTCGAGGCGCCTGGCTTGGCCGTAGGCAGTGCTGAAGGCGAGCGTCGGAAGGCTCGGCGCTCACTTCTCAGATGGGGCCGCCGGTAGCCGGCACCTTTGCTGTGCGTCCAATGTCCACGGCGTTCGCGATGTCTTTGCCGTGCTGGCCGGAAGTGACGTGACCCCGGTGCGCGTTTCCAGGAACCGACGAGCGCAGTATATTCCCAGCAGTAGGCGCGTCTGTGCCTCTACTCCCCACCCCCACCCCTCCTCCAATTATCACCATCGTTGTCTTAAGGAATGCACTTTTTTGGCAAGTTAGGCAGCCATTGGCTGAAACAATGTCAGCCAGCCAGTCTTGACTGGTTGGTAGAAACTACAGATGGCAAAACTGGCAGAACTGGCAGAAACTCGGCTGAGGTAAAATAGGCTGTAAGTCAATGGAACGACATCAGGCCAATATGGCGTTCGCATTCAGCATTCGTAGTGTTAATGTAGTGCGCACATGAAAACGCATCAGTAGAAAGAACGACGTACTAACAAAAACTGTTAGATATTGTGATACGATGCATAAGATGGACCGTTGCATGCATAAATCAAGCGAGAACATCAAACTCGTCCTTCTCCACTTCTAAGCCTGCTTCTAGGCAGAGTGCACTGACCCGGCAAAGACAATGTGCTTTTTTTAGCATGCGGCTAAATCACAAGTTGCCAAAATGTACTGCGTAGAATGATTGCTTAGTAGCCAAATGAGGAGCACAATTGACAAAGTCAGGCACTGCTATGCAAGGCGTCGTTTTTTTTGTAACAAAGTGTGCCTTAGGGAAAGTGCTCCACGTTTGAAGATATTGGAGCAATTATCATAAATGGTGAAAGAAGCTCGCTTTTAACTTTCGGTTTACTTTTCAGTTGCAACGACTGCTCTAGGCAGCAATCATTGATTGCGTCATGAAGCGTTTGCACGACGTCGAGGTGCTGCCATACTAACTGTAGGGAATTGCCACCCTTGCACTCACTTATATGACTTCGAACTCGCAGAGAGATGGCAGTACAATGTTGCAAGTGTTCACTGAACCAGATATCGTTCCGTGCTTGGGTTTTGACCCTTTCTCATGGTATTCTTGCATATTTATCCATGATTTACGAAGTTTTCTTGCGTTCACGTACTAGTAAATGGCTCTTTTCTGAGGTCATTCGATTACAAGACTTATTTCCGTAAAAGCTAGTAATCATATCTAACTTCTTACATGACGTAGCACTAAACGTGATTCGTTGTTGAAATTCGCACAGATTGCTCAATATTGATGGGGAACCAACTGGCGTCCATAATATTTGGAAATCGTCCTCACGGGTGCCAGATCTGAACGGCTCGACGATAACAGTATTTTTGGCCCTGAACGCCGCATGGCCTGTGGGGTGGCAGGATTTGGACTACATTGCTATGGCGTCATGCATACCTGAATGCCCCAAAAATAGACCGCACAAAAAAGTCTGCACGTCTTCGCGGGGTGTAACTAAGCAACTAGAGGGGTTTAGGTCCGAAGAATGGCAGGGTTGTGAACTTCACCGAATGATCTTGGAACTGGCTTTTTCAGTTCAAAACCCGGTACACTCTTGAAGCACTTCCTGCAATATTATGGTCTATCCAATTTCAGGATACACAAATCTAGTCACATTGGCAGCAGTTCGGCATCACTTCGTATTGTATTCGCATTTGATTTGTATGACAAAAATTTAATTATCCTGTGGTACTCGGGTATTTAAGCACTTTGAAATGTACTGGTTGTCTTTTGAAAGGCAGTTTGAATCATGTTACACACTTTTCCAGTTAATAATTAATAATTTTCCATAATGAAGCGATACCTCTGTGTGACAGCAAATCATGATTGGTTATAGATGTAGTAGTCATACATCAAACAAGCCATGGTAAGCGGTCATAGTTGACAGGTTCAGAAACTAAGCCATGTGCCAAGTACGACATTTTTGTTGTGTCTGTGTATCAGTGTGGTGTGCATGGTTTGCTGGCAAAAAGAAGCAATATGACGCTGTGGATAAAGCGAACTATGTTGAGTTTGTCGGTTTACGTTGGTTTTAACCGGCATAAAACAGACGAAAGCAGACATTAGCTCCAGCCGGCTGACCGCCCTGACTGTGCGGCTGGAGAAGTCGTCAGAAGTGGGTGGTTTGGGCGGTGCGCCGGTACCGTCCGGGCGGCGGGCTGTGCGGCTGGAGGAGTCGTCAGAAGTGGGTGGTTTGGGCGGTGCACCGGTACCGTCCGGGCGGCGGGCTGCCGAGCCGGTAGACACCGGCCTCGTCCGGTCAGGGCTCAGCCGGCGCAGGCCCAGCTTCTCGGCCGGTCGCGTGCGGCCTGGGCGACGCGCCGGGCCAGGGGCGCCTCTAGCCGGTCCTCGCCGAGGGGTGCTGGCGGTGCGGTCCGCCGGGTATGTTGATACCGACTGGTTCGGAGGGACAGGGGCGCGTCGAGCGAGCGCGCGCGGCGCCGCTGGCCCTCCGGTGGTGCGTGGCCGCCTGGCGAGCGGCGCTGGCGGCGGGCTTGCGGCTGGCGGGCGCGGCCGGCCTCCTCGCCGAGCGGCGGACGCGCCGGCCGCGACGCCAGGCCCCTGGCGACAACCAACCGCGGCCCGGCTGACCCGTGTCGTGTTCTGTACCCTGCACCCGGCCGCCCGGCCGCCGCGCCGGCGACAACAGCCGCGAGTCTGAGCTGCAACGGCGCTGCGGCCGTCGGCACGCGCGCGTTGCAGGCAGGGCCGGGGCCCTCCCACCTCCCACGCGCTTCCTTGCTAAGGCAGCGCACGCGCGGGTTGGCCCTCTCCTGTTCGCCGTCTGTAGCTGCCAGTGCCGTCGACGCATGGTCAGATAGTCCCTGCCATGTCAATAAATTGGTGGTATGGAGCTGGACTTCAGGGGCTGGAACTGCCATACATTGCTCGTGTGCAGTGAGTGGCAGGCGCGCAGCCAGAGCCTTTGCAAGGTAGGGGAAGGGGGGGGGGGAGGAGCACAGGGTTGACAAAGGGCCCGTTGATAGTAAAATGCCCTAAAGATATCGCCCAAATGCCCCATTTCTTAACAGGGGCATGGTTTTAAGTTTTTCTTTTTGCCTTCTACGGATGCAAAAGAGGTCGAAAGATACTGTGAGATCAATTCCGCCTGAATGTTATAGTAACGTAGTTTTGAGCATGCTCGCTAACAAATCTTAAGGACAAAACCTCGGCTGCAGGCGTTGTAGTCTCCGCAGGCCGCGCGGCGCTGAGCTGACAGCTAATTCTGAGTCGTGGCCAATGGGTGAACGAAGATGACAACGGCTCCGAAAGAAGCACCCCTGCACGCTATAGGGCATCACATCTTTCATTTAGTAGGTAATCCGGGCGTATTTTTCACACGTGCGATTTTAAGGTGGATGATAAGAACGGATTAGCTTAAGAGCGCTGCTAAGTGGTGCCGGAATCTGTTGGTAGAACTGAAAGAGCGGATGACAATCTCTACGTTCTTTTTGCTGTAGCTGTTAATCTGTGCAGGGGACAATATCAAAGTTATAAAAAGACAAGTTAGCCTAATCTTGAACGTCCCCGCCCCCGTTGAGCAAATCTTCCCCTGACCGACTCGAGGCCCCGTGTTGACACTGAACACCCTGTTGGACACTGTGGGTCTTTGACCGATACAGGAGCCCTGCATTGTTGCAAGGGCCCCGACCAATGTAAGTTCCGCCTCCGTTATGTCCCTGCTTGGGAAATGGGCCACCGGACTCATACCGGCACGCAGCCGACTGCTCGGTGTTGGTAATCTGGCCGAAACAGAACAACTCTCTGTCTCAGCGGTCGCCAATCAGTGCAATAGGCCCTCTAACTGATGTTTGAGATCACGACCCTACGGGCGGGGTTTTTAATGCAATCTTCTGCCAGCCCTTCGGGCCCCTGAGCCATTCTGTCGGGTCCTCGATCTTTGGCCTCAAGTGACTCTTCGGCCCCTCTTCCTGCTCCCTCAAACACCACTCCCGACCGACTCGGGCCCATTTGCTGCCATAGGACCCCTGTTAGACACTGGGCCCTGACCGATATAGGAGCCTCTCATTGTGTCAAAGGCCCCAAACATTGCAGATCGCCGGTCCGGGCCTCGTTCCTGCTTGGGAAATGGTTCCCAGGGCATGGACAGACATGAGGCCGACTGTTTGGCTCCCTATCGGGGTTCTGTATAAAAGAGTTAGATAACTTTTATGCTTGGGTCCCTAGTAGAAGCCCTCTGACGTTTTGTTTTTTGCCACGGCACTTCGGTTGGGGGGCCAGGTCCGGGTCCAATGGGGCTATTGATCTTTGACCCGAGGGGCCAAAATATCCCTCTCCAGGCCTCTTCAAACAGAGCCCGTGATCGACTAGGGACCACTAGCCGACCGATGACCCCTGGTAGGCAAGGTGGGTCCCTGACCGACATAGAAGCCCTAACCATTGTTTCGGGGACCCAAAAGCAATGCAAATCGTGGCCCCTGGCCTTGCTCCTGCGTGGGAAATGGATCGCATTGCAGATTGACAGGGAGCCAACTGTCCGGTTTTCATGGTCTCTAGCCAACTTAGACACACGCATTGTGTCAGGGCTCCTCAAACGGTGCAAGATTACCCTTGACTGATGTTTCAGGTCACGACCCAACGGGCTGTGAGTCTTTATGTGAACTACAGCCAGTCCTTCCTGCCCGACCCCCAACCGGGCCTTTGATCGTTGGTACTGGTTGGCCGCCCGGGCCCCTCTTCTGGACTTATCGAACACTGCCCTTGGTCGGCTCGGGGTCCCT